CATTCTTATTGTACCGTTGGGACGGCTCGCAGCATTCGGGACCCGGCAGTACGGTAAAGGATGGGCAATTGGGCATTAGAATGAGGCGAGAGACAAGACCTATATTGAGATATAGTAGCTATCCTCACGTCAGGGGTGTGAGGAATATGGATAAAGGATATCTATAGGATAGGGCGACATAGAGTTACTGAAAATAGGCGAGACCGACAGATCGTTGTAAGAAAGAAAGACTTACCATTAGCAGCCCAATAAAGATTGACAATGGCATGATGCACCACTTCAATGTCATGTCATGCTATATGTGACAGGGCGTACTAGCTTCCTATGTTGGTGATGAGCAGCAGCCGAGTATCGTTAATCATGGCATAAGTGGATGTAACGAGAATGCAATCGGCCAGAATCCACTATTGGAGACTCGCAGTTCTATGCCTCTGTCTACACTACCTTCGGTCGTGTTGGAGTACTCTACAGTGTATTGTTTCACTGCGCATTTGTATCTATCTTTACCGCCTCAAACCCGGGAGGAATCTCAAACCGTCAATACCCGCATTACTAGTTGGACTTTTCATCTTTTTCCAATCCCTAATTACCCCCTCTTCTTCTCTTCTAAGGTAGCAAAAGCCTTGGAAACCTGTGACCAACTATCATGTAACAGCACTAAAGGAGAGTCAGCACAGCACGCGGACTCTTACTCCAATGATTCATTTCGGCACTTACCAAGGGGCACGATGGCCCAAGGGAGGTTGAATCCCACGTAGTATACCCAAAAGTACAGCGTCTCCGGGCGACTGTACGCCACGCCATGCACTCTCGACTCGTTCCAGTTGGTCAAGTAATAAAGGGCTACACCGTACATATGTGCCGTGCATACAATGATTTGCACTACGTGGCGGCTGTGCCAGTCTTTTAAGATACCGAACACTGTGAGAAGAGAGAGAGGACCCCAGGCGAGCTGTATAGGCTGTGTAAGATGGCGAAGAAACAAGAGAACACGAGACAACCAGATAACTTACACATGTGATGGTTTCTACGCTGACTGTGAATATGTCATGGGTGAGATATCGAGAGTCTGAAAGCGTGTATTCTTTCCATAGCTGGGCAAAGAGCGTCGACATGCCAGGAAGTTGATGGCGATGTACGAGATAGTATCCTTGAACATGTCAGCAACCCGAAGCTGTATAGTGAGTGAGCGATCAGGCCCGGAATGGTCTCTACCTTCAAAAGCTACATGCAAAAAACCGCCTAAAGTCCAGAGACTGATCAGTAATTATTTCTTGTTTTGTCTGAATGCAGAAGTGTCTGACTTACACAAGGCAAACCAACCAACAGCGAACTGGTCGATAGGGCGTACTGGTTTTCGAGTACGAGTAGTCTGCCACACGGCGAATCCGACAACAGCACTAGCGATCGCTCCAAAAGTAAATATCAGTTCAAAGACTCCAGTACTGTTTGGGAGATAGCCTGGGATCACAGCATCCAACGGAAAGTATGGGTGCCCAGGCTCGGGTACAGAGTTGATGGGATCAGCCATTGCGTGACCTAGACTTGTCTACGGTATGCAAGTATAAATGAATGTGTAAACACGGAGTTGCCGAGCGCTACTATTGAGCGTGGTAATATGTAGTCCCTAATTGATTTGTAAATACAAGGTCGACTTAGGATGAGCATCGCGGTCAGACTTGGTGAGATGGTTTAATTAATCCACCAGATATCACGTGACGACCCTGAAGACATGCATGGTGTTTCTACGGCATGGAACAATACAAGTAGTTACTGTTCCTTAGTGATTCATTTATCTTAGTATAATGTTGTTTGTAAAAGCGATTACACAGAGAGTCAATGGTCGAGACCAGACTGTTGGCAATCAGCCACAGATAGAGGCACGATGCTAACTAATCTCCAAGGAAAACAACACAGTTGTAAAGAAATGCCAGTTAATTCCATAAATTACAAACAAATACATATCAATAATATACATCACCCTTCATTAGTATCCTCGCAGTCCTCAAAAGCTGTGCAGACTCAATCCTGTTATCACGAATCACAGTTCCAATATCAACCTTTCCACTAGGATGCCCGATAGTAACCGTATCCTTCGACTTTCCGTCAATAAGATCTGACGCAATTGTGCCCTTCAGCTGAGAAGCTGCCCCGAGACAGAGCGCAAGAGTCAATGGCACGGCCTTGTGTGCCTGACCCATCGACAAGGCGAGACATCGAATATCAACATCTGATGAGCCGCTTGAAGGAAACAACAGAACAATTTTGGGGACACTCTTGACTTTTGGATCAAGGCCCATGAGGCTAGCACCTGTTTGGCGTATCTCTTCCAGCCTATCTTTAAGTTCGGCATTTGATTCCACAAGAGCTGGTGTGAGGGATAGATGGTCAGCCAGTCCCAGGCTTTCGGTACTGATAAAGACGCCAGGATTTCCAACATCGACAAGAGATGCTTCGATTTTGGTTCCGTCACTTAACGTGAGAGTGTCCACTGCATTTCCTGTAGGGAGAGCCCTCCCAGTCTTTGCGCCAGCGGGATCATGGAAGCTCATGATAACCTTTGAGCCTGTGCCAGGGACACCATCCATTGCATAGTCTCCTTTGTGCGTGTATCGTAAGGGCGAGCCCTCGACACGAAACTTGGAGGACATTACTTTGTCGGTGTTAGTGTTGAGAAATCTCACCGTGGCCCATTGTGATCCATCTTGGTCCGTCTCGACGCTCTTTGACGATATCAAACCACTATCCCAGGCTACAGGGCCAACCAGCGAAGACATGTTTCCGCAATTACCAGCCATATCAAGACTTCCATCTTGAATTCCAACTTGCACAAAGGTAAAGTCCACGTCGACATTATCGCGAGAAGGCGGCCCGAGAATGACAATCTTTGAAGTTGACGAAATACCAGAACCCACACCATCGAGTTGCCGCACGTACGGGTCAGGCGAGCCCATTGCTGAAGGGAGGACTTGGTTCCATTGGGACTCGGGAGGGAGGTCCTTTCTTTGTATTACTAGGCCATTTGATGTTCCGCCACGGGCGAATAGCGCGGGAAAACTTGGTGGTGAGGTTGTCATGAGACGGGTTTGATGTGGGATGATTGGTAGTGATGATATTCTGGCTGAGCGGACGAGATGTCGAGACAAGAATGCGCGAGATGCCATGATATCTGACTCTTTCGGGAAACACTAATATTGAGATGAAAAATGCCACAAAGACAATTAAATACTATAAGTAGAATCAATGACTAGTAAGTAACATTGTGAGGTAGGTAAGTAGTCTTGATGATCAAGCTCGGAGATCCGAGACCTCGGTCCGTCCAGGGACATGTCTTAAATATTTAGTGGTCGATGCACTGTAATTTCCTTATGGGATGGATAGCTCAAAGACTCAATATCAGCACAACTTCAATTCCAATTTATAGATAGATATTCAGCAAGTTAACCTGTAGCTCTGCAATTTATTTGTTCGCTAGCTAAAAGAATCATATGTGCTGTCCTGATACCAGCATAAAAGCACTCAACTAGGTAAATCAAGCCGCCAAACTGAAATCAACAACATAACAAGCACCGAGCAAAAAACATTCTTCAAACAACAAAGAAAGACAATAGAAAATCCATCACTCCCAGAATCTCCTCATGACTCTATCCGCATAGTCTTCATCCAAGCCCCAGTTCTCGACCGCATCCTCGATACCGTCCTCCATCCTGTCAATGTACTCATCCCTTGGCACATCCTCATCCATCCTCATGTCATCAACGTAAATCAATGCTCTCAACGTGCTGTCTTCATCACTTGTTGCATTCGCCCACTTCACATCCACTTGGAACTTCTTGTAAGCCCATGGGACGCCTTCATGACCATCTAGCCTCTCTTCGTCCACGGACGGAACGAGGTAAAGCAGACCGTACACTCCATCCTCTTCATTCTCCTCCCTCTTTCCAGCCTTCTCTTTTCCCTTCACAGTGAGCTGTTTGTTGGATTCAGCGTCTGGCGTATCGTCATCCGAGTCGACGGGGAGTTGCACCACGTTCGCGTATCCGCGCGCATTGATGATCCATTTCCAGCCCTTGAGATATGCCAGACCGACGGGAGTAGAGCGTGGGCACCGCTGTCGCATCTGTTCGGTCGAGAGGTTGGAGCCGTAGGCAAAGTAGAGAACCTCGGAGACGTTCTCCTGCATTAGAGTCATGGTGCTGTCCTGCGACCGCTGGCTGTCTCCCTGTGAGCTCATGACTGCTGCAGTGTCTTGTGGTTCAACCCGTCTTTTATATATACTGTAAGCTGTCGTGATAGGTTGAGTAACTAATAACAAAGTGATAGGCTCTTCGCCGTTGACTCATAAATCAGCGTGAGCTTAGACGATGATAGCGTGAAGTCTTGTTATCCATGGCTAGCATCATGAATGGTCCGTTCGCCTAGTAGATATATCAAGTTGACGTCTTTGTTGGCGGCCTGACAATGGAACTTTGACTCACTAGACTAAGTCTGAGTCCTATGTGTGTTGCGAATAGGCAGCAAGGCGCTTAAGCCTTGCTCCGCCTCTTAACAACCTATACCACTAACGAACTATCCCCTACCAAATACAGTATATGTGAACAGAGGAAATGACAAAAGAGTAAATGAATCACATCCTAGGAATGGGACTTTGGCGCAATCCCTGATTTACGATTTCTTTGTGTTTTTGTTTGTGTCGACTCTGTCTGTATTTGTCTGTCTCTTTGCTCATATTACTTGGGCTCATCTCATCTACCAAACTCCTTTGTCCCTGATCTAACAAGGAAATGCTATCAAACCATCAAATCCCCAAATACAATCCTCTAGTAATGGCGAATTAAACATAACGAGCGAGTATGGTATCGCAAATCAAATCATTAGACGTAGCATAATATTTTATGCATTCTGTTTCTTTCAACCTATCCACAACCCTCCGTGGCGAATTACCAATCCTTCCTCTTGTCTCCGCCCATGCGAGGCTGTTAATCCTGTCCGAGTCCCGACTATGTGATAGGGATCAAGAAGGGGCTGAGTATCAGCTGGTCTGCGCTAGGACGTAGGTTGTGGTCAATTTCAAACGTTTGCGCAAGAAACTCTTTGGCTGCCTCGCTTGCGTGCTCAGGGATTGTAGGGGCCGCTTTCCCGCCCCCAATCTTGAAGATAGCCTGCAGCTGACTACAATCGGGGAATGGGTGACTACCAGTCATCATTTCCACCACCAAACATCCGAGCGACCAAATATCCGCTTTGCGAGTGTACGATGTTTGCTTCACTACTTCAGGAGCCATCCAGAAAACGGATCCTTGCAATGAAGGGCGGTGCTTGTTGTTGTTGGCGCCGTTCAGGATGTTGGAGGCCTCCAGCTTCTTGGAGATACCAAAATCAGAGATCTTGATAGTTCCCTTGTTGTCCACCAGAATGTTGGCGCCCTTGATATCACGGTGAATGATGTCCTGGTTGTGCAAGTACGAGAGACCCGTCAGAATCTGCCGCACAAAACTGCGCACTAGCGGTTCGGGAAGGGCGCCGTATGAGTTGAGTATCGTCTGGACTGAGCCACCAGGCACATACTCGAGGAAAATGTTAAGATAATCAGCTGTCGAACTGCAGCCAAGATACTGCACAATGTTGGGGTGACGAAGATCGCGAAGAAGACTTATTTCTCGCTTGAGTGCATCAATCATGCCCTTCTTACGATTGTCGTTTTGGCTGTTGGCTCCAGGCGCAGGTGTCTCGACCTGCTTCACGGCAAGGAGCTCGCCCGTAACGGCGTGCAAAGCCAGGTAGACGGAGCCGAATGACCCTTGACCGATGAGCGCACCCTTCATCCATTTGTCGTCGCCCCACGACTCTCCAGCCAAGAAGCTTTGTAGCTCCTCATCTACGTCGTCCCCGTCGTTGGTCAAAGCTTGCCGAATTTCCTGGAATGATCCAGAGCCTGTTGAGGTGTCGCCATCGTAGTAGCTTGTGGCTGTGGTGTTGCCTTCAGGGTCAGTGACACTGACAGGAGCTGAGTCGGAGCCGCTCTCGGTGAACGAGACATAAGACTTGCGGTCAGGCTCAAGTGACGATTCTTCTTGAAGCGTATCGAGAACTGACGAGGTGACCGAGTCGCGATTGTACGCGGCTTGAGGAACCCGGATATGTGAGTCTCGAGTTCTCACCTTGGCGAGTTGGGTGTTAGCATTGAGCCAGGAGTCCGCAATAGTGGGGATTGGAGGTGCATCTTGGATGCTGGAAGCAAAACTGAGGTTGCTGGCCACGCTGAGCCGGCTGTTGACCTTGCTCAAGCGAGTTGACCGTCGCATAGAAAGCCGGGCTGTGCGGTCAATATCCTCTCTAGTATGGTCGGGGAAGTAGGATGTAAGATCAGACGCAATCAACTCGCTGGGAGGTCGAAGACCTCCGAATTGTCGAAGCGCTCCTACACGTCGGGCTGGCGCCCTTGACTCTACTTCCGAGGCAGGACGCTCGAGGTCCTTGGCTGCATTGTGCAGGTTTCGCTCGCGATCCTGATATGAGATTGGCGACAACGGGGACTGAAGCTGGTCGTTCCACTTTTCCCCAAGCATCTTCTGAACCTTGAGTTGACTTCGCTTGTCCACCGTTTCGAGCGCTCGAGCATGTTTTTGCTGTTCCTCCTCCATGGCGATGGCCGCGGCGCGGTGCAGCTCTGCCTCGCCTGGCTCACCTGCGGGAACTCTCCGCAATATCAATCGGTTACGTTCTGGTCGTCGTTGGTCCTTGATAATGCGCCAGAGCTCCGTGTCGCCTAGTCGTCGGCATTGGCCTGGGTCAGGGTCGATGCCAGCCAGGACCCAGAAACAGTAGTTCCTTTCATGATCCTCCCGCAGAGCGAATTTGCGAAGAGTGACCCTCATGACCTCCTCGCAAGTATTGCATCCGGAAATCTTGACGACCTTCGTAACGCCGCCGGTCGATATAACGCGGATAACTTCTTGACCCTGTGGTAAGGCAGCCATCAGTGAACCGTCCATACTGGAGTTATTCCTGGTATGGGTCGTTACCAGACGGTTTGCCGGAAGATCCGGGTTTGTAGTTACAATCCTTTGCCCTTGAGCATTTACAGCAGGGCTGGAGGCATATGCTTTTCCTCGAGACCGCATATTCCGAACATCGGTGCCAGGCAGAGGAGAATTGGGCCTTGAAGATGTTTTGCCGTTGTCTAGAGCACCGTGCAAGTCTAGTTGTCTTGAATATCGCTTGTTAGATGATGCAGGAACGCCTCTCGACGAGTGCAATCGTGGCGAGTCGTTGGGTGCTGTGATCTGAATGTCGAGTCCGCCGAAGGAATCCTAAAAGAAGATTGTCAGTTTACGAAGTCGGTACATTTGGGGATTACTGTATGGCCTACCCGATTCCGCTTCTTCTCGTTGGCGTACGCTCTGGTTCTCAGCTTCTTAATGCTGAGAAAGAGGCGGACACGGTCGCCGACCTTTTCGACACCCATTTCTTTCAAGACATCCTTGTCCATTTCTAATAGGTTCTCGCCATTGATATGATTCTTTCGAAAGATCTTTTCGTATTCGCCGCATTTGACGGATCGCAGGTACTCGCACACTTGATCCTCGTCCCAGTTCTTGACGGATTCGGCTGGGTCGTTTTCGGTGAATTCGGACTCTGTTGGGCTACCATAAGCACCTGAAGAAGGCATCATGGGAGTTCTTCGGGGCGGAGGCATCGCAGGCTGAGATGCGACAGGAGTGTGAGAAGAGGAACCCATGCCTGCGGGGAAAGAAGTTTTTGAAGCTAACATGGCCATGGTGAAAAGGCAGGCAATCGTACGATCGTCCGTGAGAAGCTATCAAGTGCGTTTGTAAGTGGTGAAGTTTAGCGATGGTGGTTTTATCGCCAACAGGCGATGCCCGAGACACCAAGTCGAAATGGGATAACCCAGGCCCAGCTGAGTAGAGTCGGGTCGAGTCGAGTCGATCGATGGTGGCTCACTGATTGGAATGTGTGGAAAACGGCGGGTGAGCAAACGAGGGCTCGGGATTATTAGTGACGCACGCGCAGAAGTCAAGAAAAAAAGCAAAAGTTGCGATCAACGCGGAGCACTTCACAGGAATGAAAGTGAAGTGAAGAAACGTATACAGAGACCAGTTGCAGGCAGAGCTGGACGAGGGCGAGCCAAAGTGGTGAGGTGAGGATTGAAAGAGGGAAGAGAAAGTGACGATGCCCGGGCGGACAATGGAATACAAAGTATTGGCTTGGAGGGGAATGGGACGGTTTGGCAGCTAGAGCAGGGGACTGGCGGTGGTTACGGCGAAGGTACTGGGTAGTAGGTACCACCAAGACAGCGGGTACTTGGCTAGCGTGGGTTAGTAGGTGGCTTGCAGAAGCAGTAGACAAGTATCGGTTAAGCGTGCAGATACCTTTTCTTCTAGACGGACGGTGAAGTTATTAGGTAGGCTATTAGCCTGATTCAGGTTGGCCGACTTTTCCATCTATTGGTGGTGATTGTCACTGCGGAGAGGAGAAGGAAGATGAGGAGGCCCTGGAGCTGGCCCATCGCCCCTTGTCAAAGCCATCATGCTACAGGGAACAACCGATCAATCAATGCTCGAATAGCAACTCCACTACGAATAACACGATCTCCAGACCCAATTGAGAAAAGAAAGCGAATACCACGCTCATTGTTAGGGGTCAGTTCAAGCGATCTGATCACGGTGGGCTGATGAAGAAATTCGATATTGGAGGCCCAGAACATAGATAGTCTACATATAAACATACGGTAAGAAGGGAGTGTTCACATGCAGTGCTGATGGGTAACCGCGAAGAATTCTGTTTAGTTTATGGGCTCTACTCTTTCCTTTTTTTACTGATATGCAAGTTTCAGAACCGTCCCCACTCGTGAGCAGACCAAACATTTGCTTACTCTCTCCATCTCTTTCCAATAACTATCATAATAAAAGATGCGACTCATGAACAGGAAGCACAAAGACGGGACGGACAGCGACATTCAACTGACATATTCTACCTGTGTACTAAAGTACAGTACGCAGCATGCCCTGAAGCATCTCTTTCTTCAGTGTGTGATAACTGTCGTGTCAGGCCATGAAACAAAGTAAGCCTAGACCCTGGATGCTGGAATCTGGGCGGGCGGCTATAAGTTCGAATGATAGGTCAAGGCCTGATCCCTGATGAAACAGACCGTGTTTCGACCGGTGACCACTTTGGGAGGATGACGCTGTTCGAGTTAAAAGAGCGCATTCAAGCATTTTATGTAGCTATTTCCCCAAGGCATGATATGCCAACATGATAGGATAGCTAATCATGTGTGCTCTGACTTGTCTGACACGACATTAGTTAACAAACAACGTGTTCCCAAGACATTCTGCAACAATACAAGATAAGAATGTTGAATTGCTAGTGGCTGAATACTGCCTAATAAATACCAACTAATGAAACCGTGCACTCATAGCTCAGCTCAGCTCAGCTCAGCTCAGCTCTCTCTCTCTCTCTTCTCATCAGCTGTCTTTTCACCTTTGTCCACATGATAAAGAAAAGAATTCTAATTTCGGATGTGTTTTTCTTTTACTTCCGTACCAACGTCCATGACCAAAATAAGTCAATATTCTCCTGTCTACTATCCAAAGTACCTACATCTCAACTGCTATGATCTTCACGTGTATGCATGTACATTTCATCATGTCTATGCCGAGCTGTTCCTTTGATCTCCCTTTCTCACCTCAATACCAATCATTCATCCAACTTGAAACCTCCTGAAATGTTAATCGCTGAGGAAGTTAATGCTTCAAGCGTCTGGATAAAGTCACTGTTTCGGTTGCCGAGGCCGCCCATCCCCCTGATACCATGCTGCCGGTTAATGAGGCTCGCTCGTCGTAACTCGCCTCGTCATCTTATCTGCTTGTTTCGTCCCAAAACCTTGCGCTGCTGATCGGGAAGTGGATGGCCGTAAAACAATCATCTACCTAAAACTAGCATTGCTCTCTATACGTGCCCGTATTATGGTATAGGGTCATTGCTGAAGAGTGGGCTCAATCACTCTGCTAGTCCCATGGACCAGAAGCAAACCATGAATGAAATACAGCCAGAAATAGCTTCTAGAAGATGCCTGATACATTCGCATTGATCACTCACTGACTGCTTCATCTGATCGATCTTGATTTCTCATGCTAATACACACGCTAGGTACTGGTTAGCAAGTACTAAGGATGTGTTGCTCGCTTTGACCACCATCACTATGCATCGACAACTTGCTTAATATCGGGACTTTCGTATGGCATCTTGCCATAATAAGTGACTATCTTGATCTTATGGTACTTATTGACGAGTGCTCCTCGTAATCACTCTCTCTGACCGACTGACTCACTGCGCATTTTCCAGGCTGGTCAATGCCACGCCAAACATAATATCGGCGATGCCACGCGAGAAACAAAACTTAACGTTTAGATCGAATTCTTTGTTTGAACTTGCCGCGTTATGTTTCCGTAAGTATTAATAGATTCAAGTGGGCATCTCAGTCAACTCCATCACGCATCTAAGTAGCGGATCATACTTACCCGTGGTGATCTACTCTTCAAAGGTGTATGTGCCGCTAAAGATCTTTAGATCAACCTGGGAATGTGTGTTTAAAATTGCTAAAACATACACATAAGACGTAAGGCAGTTGCTATATAAATAGTGAAACCGACTATTCGTGCAATGAAGCCTGCGGTTTGATCATTATGCTGTTAGTCCCAACTGGACGCCAACGACCGCATTTAACTTCTTTACATTATATCATGAACATGCCGCGTCTACATCGAGTTTGTTACAAACCTGAAATATAGTTCATCATGCCTTTCACGTCGTTCGATCGCATCATCAAAAGTGAGGCTCAAAGCTAAGGCCTTCCGATTGTGGACTCGGGAGCTTCTGATCGAGACGGTTCATCACAATACGACAGTGCACTATGCCCATCGGAATCCGGCAAATCATGCTTGTTAATAATTCACAGACAAATTCAAATCAGTAATATTCACCGCTCGATTGTGCCGCGAAGTTGTTCCCAGGCGATCTGCGTCTCGGCTATCTCACAGACCCTGCATCCTAGTCCGGGTAACGAGCTGAGATATACTTATAGGAAACATTCAATATATGGACAGCCCAGCTAACAATGCATCTATCATATCCGTAATACAATATTCCAAGATTGAACTGTCATCATCTATTGCACGGAGCTTTGAAGAAGCTCAAGGATTGGTTCACCGTAGTGTATCTAAGCGGGAGGACAATCCTTGAGCCGATCATATTGAAGTCTCTAGGTGCATGCATGGGTCGAAAATCACTTTTGGTATTCTGTAATTATTTCACTTGGGTGATACTGATCCGACGTATATATGATAGCGGCATATGGAATACTATACGGATGCTATGTCAGGCGGCATCTGGAATCATGTGCATGGATGTATATCTATATCTATCACTCCAATACCACTTTTGCTTCGGTTACATCTGTATTTTTCTTTTGAACACTCACTACCTTGGAGACAACAGCCTGGATTGCTGTCTGGAGAATACCAACCATCCTCTCCAATTCTGACTCAGTCACCACATAAGGCGGAGACATTATGACATGGTCAACATGCACATCTCCTATTTGACCCAGGTTCCCCAATATGTTCAATCCCAGATCTAGCGACTTGTCCACGATTCTGTGACAGAGTCTCATGCTGGCTGGAAAGTGCGTCTTACTCTGACGATCCTGGACGAACTCGAAAGCCCAGAATAGACCTCGTCCACGAATGTCCCCGACAGTGTCCAGCGGTCCAATATGATCCTTCAGCAAACGCTCCAGCACTGCGCCCATTTTCTGGACACTTGTTAGTATATGCTCATCTCTTATGATCCTTTGAACCTCAAGAGCCGCGGCGCAAGCCACTGGGTAAGCCTGTTGATTTTGCGATTGTTAATTATGTGTTACTCTGCATCTATAACTGAAGCATACCTGGAATGTGTGACCATGAGCTAGCCCTCCTGACCCTTCAGCGATAGCGTCAAAGATCTTGCTGCGCAGTGATACACCTGGTAATGGAATGAAGCCTCCGCTCAGAGTTTTACCTATCATCTTGATGTCGGGTCCAGAGATACCTTCTTGCTCCCAGGCATGCATTGTACCGGTTTTCCCCATGCCACGCATGATCTTCACAACGTCAGCTGGTAACATTGGAGCTGCTGAGCACGGTTTAAGCGGCTTACTTCGTCCAAGATCAAAAGAACGTCATAATCATCACAAACTTGTCGAACGGCCTTCCAATATTCAGTTACAGCAGGGACACAGTCCAGAGTTGTTCCGCTGATGGTCTCCGCTACTATAGCAGGAGTGCACACCCTAACGGCAAGCCTAAGACTTTCTGGTAATATTAATTGGGGGACATCGAACTTGAGACTTGACAGAATCCAAACTTTGTATTATCATTGGTATGGGAACCTAGATATTTAAAGATGTGTCAATTTTAGTAATTGGTTTTTGTATACCTACCCTAGACTACCTATTTTGAGCAACAAGGGGAAGAAGAAGCCAAACATTCGTAATGTAGGAACGTCGAGTGCATGGAACAAAAAAAGTGCATGTACATATCTAGGTACCTGCGAGTATTTGCTGTCTCTTATTGAGATGTGATTTTGTCACTATGAGTACCATATCATGACTGCGGCGCGTTCGTTACGTTCATCATGATATATGGATTACCGGTGGGTGGAGTGAAGTACTAGGGCACCAGAAAAATTGGTCGCTGGAGACATATGAGACGAAATTAGTAGGTCAGTTTAAGCGATTTAGGGTCTACAATTAACTAATTTATTTTTGCAGCCTAAAGCTCAGAAGCCAGGCAACGTTTCTGCTGCCCATCTAGTAGCCAAGTAGCGATCTCGGACTCCAAACCGACATCGCAGTGACCAAAGGACCCCGCATATCTCAAGTATCTCACTATCTGTCTTACACCACTTTTGCACTTGAACATATTAGCAATATACCTCCAAGCCGGGATTTTTCTCATGGAATACATCCCCGTTACAATCACGACAACTTATTGTTCGGCCATTTGGCGGGTTTTCACGATTTTCAAAGTCTCATATTGAGATTCTTCATCGCTCTTCAGCTAAGAGTCATAGTAGGTAAAGCTCAAAGAAGCAACCTTATTCTCACACAATATAAAGCACTACAACTGCAAGACCTGCTCAGCACCATTCTTCTTCCTTGTTCGGTCATGACTGAACCCAATCCGAGCATAATACAATTCTAACAGACATCAAAGTATCCGATCATTCGGCACGTGCAGAAACAACGGTCACAGTTGAAAATAAAAGACCAAGGAATCATCGGGAAGGCGCCGGTATCTATTACCTCTTTCAACTCAATCTTTCAGCTTCAATACCTAGTCCCAACCAGCTCGGCGGCACCGACCACAACTTAGAACCATGACCAGCCAACGCAAGCCCCTTGTCAGCTTCCTTGGCCCAGTCGCCTCCTACACCCATCAGGTGAGAGATCAAAACCCTTTGCCCCCTCCGTGGCAAGTTAGCCAATACAGTATGGACTGACTTGGCTGTAGGCTGTTCGTCAGGCCTTTTCTGAAGACGCCTGGGAATTCCGACCTGCCGTCACCATAGATGGTGAGTGAGAAACTGGCTTTAGCCGGCGACAAACCTATTCTAAATTTTTTGTGTCATAGACGTATTTGATCAAGTTCAGAATGGCCAGGTACAGGCTGGTGTCGTGCCCTTTGAAAACTCAACAAATGGTTCAGTAGTTTTCACCCTAGACAACCTGGCCGACAGAGCCAATCGTTACCCGGACATTACTGTCGACGGCGAAACATATGTGGATGTTCACCATTGCCTTGTTGGCCACAAGAGCACCGCACCTGTTGTGGAAGAGGCTGCTGAAGGGTCCGGCACTTGCACACCCACAGCGACAGACCCGTCACCTTCTAGACCGAGGTCCAAACCCTTGTCCAGCTTGAAGCATATTCAGCGGCTATACTCCCACCCCCAAGCGTTTGGTCAATGTACAGCTTTCATTTCCACCTACCTCAAGGGCGTTGAGATTTTCGAAGTTAGTTCGACCAGCAAGGCAGCCGAAATTGTAAGCAAGGACACTACAGGTACCTGGGCTGCGATTTCTAGTGAGCTCGCTGGTGAACTCCATGGTCTTGATTTCCTGAGCAAATCAATTGAGGACCGGGAGGATAACACCACCCGATTCTTGGTGATCGGGACTAACGCTGCGGGCCCGAGAGACCTGGAAAAGACCAAACAAGCAGTAGCCCAGAAAGGGAGCAAGTCACTTGTCTCTTTCACGGTACCTCACACATCGCCTGGAGCTTTGGCAGACGCGCTGAGCTGTTTTAGGGAATTTGACCTCAACCTGACAAGCATAAACAGTCGACCAAGCCTTGTTCAACCATTTCAATACATATTTTTCGTCGAATTCGAAGGCCACAAGCACGACGACCCGGAAGGGCGTGTTAAGGGTGCATTGGAAAAGATCAGTCGCGTTGCTGAGAGTTGGAGGTGGCTTGGTAGCTGGGAGAGATATGTATAAAGCAAAGCAATGCAATACAATATCCAAATGTTATTCACCCTCATGGTATTGGAAACTGGCCGCTACGAGCACTAGAGACGAAATTAGTAGGTCAGTTTATGCTCCTTAGATCAGATTTCTTAGGTTGTTTATTTTCGTAATGTTAGGCTAAGAGGCCGAATTTTCTGCGACCCGGTAGAATGGTTACGATTTTTCGTATTCATACTCTGACAAATTGTCTCTCTGTACGAAGGAAGATCATCGTAGCATGATAAATGGAAGTGAGAATGAACTCCCCGATGATATAAAGACAGTGCTCGGGCTGTGAACTCCCCGTTTTCTAGCGGGGTTGGCAGGTGGGTAACGATAGATTGAAATTTTAGAGGGGCATGCCTCAGGGTATCAGAAAAGTTGTGCTTGGGGTATGAGGTACGAAATTAGCAGGCCACTTTATGCCACTGAGACTATGATCTTAGGTCATTTGTTTTTGTATCTCAAAGCCGAGAGGTTATCTTTTCTGGTATACTAAGCATGGCATTTGTATTTGATTAGCTGGTTCTGGCTGTCAGGGTTCAAGAATAATACTGAGGTATTTCTGTCAACCATGATGTATCAGTGTCGATTTTCTTGTGACCCACCTGGTTGGCCACATGTCTAATGTCGCCCTGGCAGGTCCCTTCAGTGCTGTACCTACCTAAAGCTTCTATTTTAAGGAGTCAACCGTTGGTACATGGAGTGAAGATCATGTTTTTCTGGCTCTACTCACGCACGACACGATTGGCCATCCCACACCCAACATGCTTCTCATCAAACCGGAATAACAGCCGCTTATCAACGTCTGCACCTCACCTCACACTTACGTCTTCAACAAGGCCATGCCATGCTTGAGTGCCCTCTGCCAAGGTCTACCTCCACAGAGATGCGACTCAATCCCCCACTAGTCTGAGGGTAGTGAACCTTTTGCCAATGCTGTTTATGGTAGGGAATCCCATTCGGGAACTTGCAGGACATAATTCACAGCAGCGGAAAAAGACTTGCGCTCTTAGGGCCGATAGGATTGGCTTGAATCGGGCTGGACCAGGACTCGTGGGGTCTTCCGGACACATTGACCCTTGAGCACGCTTCGCAAAGTCGGCAAAGGGCAGGGATGAGACGCCGATGGTCCGAAAGGGCCTTGCGCGATTATGGGATTGTGGGATGGACGCAGAAAGCATCAATAAGAGGCGAGAAAATCCACCAACTTGGAGGCATATCTCGTCCTAGTTGCTGCAGCGGAGACCACTATCAATTATCATGACGTACACACGGCATGCACGACACTCCCCCGAGACCACTAAAAGGTCAGCGTTGGGCCACACGTCTGGGATCAGGGTGGGAAGCTCTAACCAAGTTGGCCGTTAGCCTACGGACCATCGCTTCAACGTTAAAAATCGGGCGATGGTCCGGAAGCTCTCCAGCAAACTCTGAGTGTACAGTGGGCAAGCCAAATACCTTTTAACTGCTTGGGCTGCTGCTTCTAAACTTGTGAGATTTCCTCTTCTTCTCATCCTTCTTGCTACTACACCAGCTTGATGTTGAAGAAAGAACACTTATCTGCTATATCCCCCTTTTCTTACTGGTTTTTCCTCCCAAAATGGCGTCCCGTCCTATCTTTACTGCCACGCACCCCCGTGCATGCTCTACGGCCTTTGAGCGAGTATGTTGAGTCCCAAAGATACCGGTATCATGCTGCCTCGTCGCCATGGACTTGGGTATGATTGCGCCGATTGATCGCGTTACTAACAAACTGCTAGGTCTTCATGGCCCGCCGCGATATCCTAGAGAGTGTCCACGAGCCTTTTGGAGATGCCTTTTACTACGGTCCTGAAATTCTCAGCGATCGCTTTAGAAATGACACAACCACTCGCGAACAGAGTGGTTTCTCTCACAAGACCTATAAGGACGTCCTTAGCGAGGTCATGGATGCGGGCAAAGATGTTAGTCAATTTCCCCTCCCTCATGTTCATGCGATTATTCCAACTCCCCGAACTCCCCGCCACAACCCCCACGTCTATGATGAGGGGGAACGACACACCAAAGAATATGTATGTGCCACATAGTGCAGCCAAGTTTTCTTTGGCAGCATGCATGTAGCTATCACATTATGATTATAGTCATGCAGCCGATGCACCATATCATACCTCTATCGCGCCACCAATGCCACCTCAACGGCTTGCATAAGTCATGAGAGACTCAAAAAATTGACATATCATACTGACAAACTCCCAGGGCAAGCGAATCTTCATCAAGGACATGGCTTACTACCTCATGGCCCCAGACAGCAAGCCTACCAAGGTTGCGCCGTCTCTGGGCGAGGAAGAGCCTGGTAACCCCACCGTGTTACCATTAGAGGTCTTGAAGCAATTCCAATTCACTTTCCTTATCCGCCACCCTCGACGAGCTATTCCCTCGTACTATCGATGCACAGTGCCACCTCTGGATGAAGTCACAGGTTTCTATGAATTCATGCCAAATGAGGCAGGCTACAGAGAGCTCGTGCGCTTCTTTGACTTTCTGATCAAAGAGAACATTGTCGACAAGGACAACCTTGTCGTCATTGACGCTGATGATCTTCTCGATAACCCCGAGAAGACCATCCGCCTTTACTGCGAGAAGACTGGCATTGATTTCAAGCCCGAGATGCTCGAGTGGAACGAGGAAGACTGTTCTTACGCTACAGCTGCCTTCGAGAAATGGAATGGCTGGCACAACGACGCTATCAAGAGCTCAGCTCTCAGGCCTCGCACTCATCACCAGGTATGTTAACGATTTCTTACAATCGCCCCACCCTCCTATCTCCCTCCACCTGCTTGCCTGCAACGACACCCGGTGTTTGTTCGCACTTCCTGTGGTTGGGTGAAAAAAGGCTGACATTGCTAACTAAAGAAGACGTTAACGGTCGAGAACGAGGACAAGGAATGGACTGCCAAATTTGGTCCCGAGGCGCAGAAGGTGATCCGCAAGACCGTTGAGGACAACATTGCCGATTACGAGTACCTGAAGCAGTTTGCGCTGCAAATCTAAGTGAAATTAGTTGTGTGCTCGTTCTGCTATTCAAATGTTGGTTTTCTCTTCGGTTTTGGGATTGTTTTGCACTTTTGCCCCATGTCAGATTGGATCTTTTACACCCGGTAACGAGCTGGGGCTTTGAATGATTTATGAGCGTAATTTCGTTGATAGTACATCTATTATCTTACAACGACTTTGGCAACATGCCACTTGATGAATATACACAAACACCTACATCTACAAGATTTTACCAACTCTGCTGTGAACAATGCCCTGTCGGATTTCAACCGCTTGATGACACAAATTCTCCAACGGTAGTCCGGTGTTGATGAAGCCCAAAATACATGTTTTTATACATTTGAACGGAGAAACACCTATGTTGACTTTGTAGATGGTACCTCGGCGTCCTTGGAAGATGCGGTCTTTGGTCCGCTCTCCTGTTCAGTCCCAAATCCTTCTTTCGATTGTTTAGGCCTTTTCTTGCTCTTGAGGTGTTTCTTTGGCCACTGTCCTCACGGGCTTCGAGACGTAGGTTGGCTTTTCGAACAGGTCGTGTGTAACGTTGTTCGTCCATTCTTGGGCGTACTCCTTATCCAGATCATTCGCCCAGCTCACCTTCACATCCACGAGTTTCTTCTCGGCGCCTTCAGCATCTTCAGACATAACAATCTTGTTACCACGGCCAGCACCGCTCAAGACTGTGGCAATATCGGCAATCGAATTTGGCTTTTGGGCGTTCAGAGCGATACCACGCTCTTCTTTTGTGCGGACGGGTCGATAGTTGCTGTTGCCCTTCTTCTCCTCCTCTTCGATTCGCTTGCGGTCGGCGGCAGTAAACTCTTTGGGGCGCTTGTATCGGAATTCGTTATCCCAGGCCACCTCGTGCAGGTGCTTCAACTCGCGCAGTTTTTGGAAGACTGAACGGCCGACTGAGCCTTGACCGGTGGGGAAAGCGATGTGGGCAAAGGGTGACCAGTAGTCTTTGCGGAGTTTGGGAGGCTTTGTCTTTTTGCCATTGAATGGGAGCTGCTTGAGATCATGGAAACCCTACATGCAGCATGTCAGTCCATTGGTTTGTTCACATATCTTCACAAAGAACTAAACTCACATCGAGCGTCTTGTTAAAGCTGTAAATAATCTGATCTGTTCTTCTGTGTCCGAATACCCAGATATCCTCGCCATGGCCCTCAGGTGGAGGAAAGCCCAGGCCCTTGTTCTTCTTACCAAAGTGGCCGTGTCGCACCCATATCCGTACGTAGCTGGGCAATTGGCCCAGTCGAGATGTCGGTGCCGTGTTCATGGTCGCCCGCTGTGAGGTTGAAATGGTCTTGATAATGGGTCTACCTGGAAAAAATCCCCAGTATCATCGGCTCAATCACGGGCGATCGCGGGGTCACGTGAATCAGAAACCAAGAATCGATGTAGAAGATTGCTATTTTGGCCATGTTCAGGTACCAACATGTGCTGTGCTACATTCAATCGTTGACCATGAGATCGAAATATTAGCAAATTATCTGAATATCGAGTCCAATACGTCGTGCAGTAACTCATTCTTTTGGCACTTTTCTTCAACAGCATTAGAAGTTGGCAAAACAGTAACTCTTCCATACTAACCCAACAGTCTCGACTACCAATTACAGTAAGCGGACTTGTGGATCTCTTGCTATAAAATCGGATGATAAGATAGGAAACGGATGACCCCACTAACGACCGCTGAACTTGACTGTTGTGACGTAGAAGAAACGGGAAGCTCCCAGAAGCTGGCAGGTTAGGCTGGAAACTTCCAAGTGCTTGTCTTGAAACTACTTGATCTTGCCATAACCTACCATCAAGATCGAGATACTTCACGTCGGGCGATGTGCTCCGCTGGAGGCTTCTAGAGAATAGCCTGATTCTTGTACGAGATCCACTTGATTTGTAAATAAATTCACCTCTTGATCCTCGAGCTGCTCAACTTGTTTCTTCTTCTGCAGTAATCAAGATACCCCACTACAGCAAACAATACACCACTACCTAATCTACCTGACAACAGCCCCCTCTTATTGGGCTTACAACTACACGACTACATATTTACGCTTCTTTATTCTTGTCCGAGTCCAATTTCGACTTTGATTGTACAAACTATTCAACACCGCCATCATGAATAGTCGTATGGACTTTACAGACCGTGCCCAAAAGGCCGTGGAAGATGCCATGGCCTTGGCTGAGCAATACGGCCATTCTCAACTTGTCCCAGTTCATCTCGCCGTCTCTTTGCTCGACCCCCCCGCAGACCCTTCAAAGGACCAGCAGAATGGTCCTCCGCCTACCAGCACACTCTTCCGACAAGTGGTTGAGCGAGCACACGGCGACCCTCAACTCTTCGATCGAGCTCTCAAGAAAACACTCGTTCGACTTCCTAGCCAAGATCCTCCACCCGAGCATGTTTCCCTGGCACCCCAATTCCACAATGTGCTAAGAAAGGCCATGGACTTGCAAAAGGTGCAGAAGGATACCTACATTGGCGTAGATCACCTTATTACCGCCCTTTCTGAGGAATCAACCATTCAAGGACCTCTGAAGGAAGCCAACGTCCCCAAGGCTAAGCTGATCCAAGAGGCAGTGCAAGCCATCCGGGGAACCAAGCGAGTCGACAGCAAGACCGCTGACACTGAGGAGGAAAATGAAAACCTGGCCAAGTTCACTATCGACATGACCGAAATGGCAAGGGAGAAAAAGATTGACCCTGTCATCGGTCGAGAAGAAGAGATCCGTCGGGTCGTCCGAATCTTATCCCGACGAACCAAGAACAACCCTGTCCTCATCGGTGAACCTGGTGTGGGAAAGACCACCGTCATCGAAGGACTTGCTCAGCGAGTTGTCAACCGAGATGTACCCGACAACTTGAAGTCATGCAAGTTGCTCTCACTTGATGTGGGTGCACTTGTTGCTGGCAGCAAGTACCGAGGAGAATTCGAGGAACGAATGAAGGGTGTTCTGAAGGAGATCACCGAATCTAAGGATGTTATCATCTTGTTCGTCGATGAAATTCATCTACTCATGGGCGCTGGTTCGTCTGGTGAGGGCGGTATGGACGCCGCCAACCTTCTGAAGCCCATGCTTGCCCGTGGCCAACTGCACTGTATCGGTGCCACTACCCTCGCAGAATACCGCAAGTACGTTGAGAAGGATGCTGCTTTCGAACGTCGATTCCAGCAGGTCATCGTCAAGGAACCTAGCATTTCCGAGACAGTTTCCATTCTTCGAGGTCTCAAGGAGCGATATGACCGACACCACCGTGTTACCATTCTTGACAGCGCTCTGGTAGCTTCTGCTAACTTGGCTGCCCGCTACCTCACATCTCGACGACTACCTGACTCTGCTATCGACCTTGTTGATGAGGCTGCCGCCGCTGTCCGCGTTGCTCGAGAATCTCAGCCTGAAATCATTGACTCTCTCGAGCGCAAACTTAGGCAGCTTATGATCGAGATCGCAGCTCTTGAGAAGGAAAGGGACGAGGCATCCCAGACTCGTCTTGCACAAGCCCGCAAGGATGCCAAGAATGTTGAAGAGGAGCTGCAGCCCCTTCGCGAAAAGTACCAGTCCGAGATCAAGCGCAGCGAGGAAATCCACCAAGCCAAGCTGAAGCTTGATGATCTCGAGAAGCGACTTGAAGATGCAATGAACAATTCTGAGCACGCCAAGGCTGCCGATCTCAAGTATGGTGCCATCCCCGAACAAGAGGCTGTCATCAAAGAACTCGAGGCTCGCAAGGCTGCTGCAGATGCCGCCCTGAATGCCAACGCCACGACTGATGCCGGCGGTGCCATGGTCACCGATATTGTTACCGCAGACAACATCAACGAGATTGTGGCCCGATGGACTGGCATTCCTGTCACCCGTTTGCGCACTTCTGAGAAGGAGAAGCTGATCCACATGGAAAGGGTGCTCGGCAAGGTCGTCGTTGGCCAGAAGGAAGCTGTTGGGTCTGTCGCCAATGCTATCCGACTCCAGCGTTCTGGTCTTGCCAACCCAAACCAGCCACCCAGCTTCTTGTTCTGTGGTCCCTCAGGTACCGGAAAGACCCTTCTCACCAAGGCCTTGGCGGAATTCCTGTTTGATGATGCCAAGGCTATGATCCGGTTCGATATGTCCGAATACCAGGAGCGACATGCACTAAGCCGCATGATTGGTGCGCCACCTGGATATGTCGGCCACGACGCCGGTGGTCAACTCACCGAGGCTCTTCGCCGAAAGCCATTTTCAATCTTGCTGTTTGATGAGGTTGAGAAGGCAGCCAAGGAGGTCCTCACCGTGCTCCTTCAACTTATGGACGATGGTCGCATCACCGATGGTCAAGGCAGAGTCGTTGACGCCAAGAACTGCATTGTTGTTATGACCTCTAACTTGGGTGCAGAATACCTTGTCCGACCAGGTGTCAAGGAGGGACGCGTTGACTCTGGTACTCGAGAGTTGGTTATGACTGCCCTTCGCAACTACTTCCTGCCTGAGTTCCTCAACCGTATCAACTCAGTCGTTATCTTCAACCGTCTGACACGCAGGGAGATCCGCAAGATCGTCGACATTCGCCTGTCGGAAATTCAGAAACGGCTCGAAGACAATGGTCGGAAAGTCAAAATCGATGTTTCAGAGGAAGCGAAGGATTACCTTGGAAACAGTGGTTACTCGCCGGCTTATGGTGCCAGACCTCTCTCTCGTCTCATTGAGAAGGAGGTTCTTAACCGCCTCGCCATTCTCATCCTACGCAACAACATCCGTGACGGAGAGTACGCACGCGTTGAACTCATTGATGGCAAGATTGTTGTTCTTTCCAATCACCCCGATAGTGAGATGGGCGAAGATGACGATATGATGGATGAGGAGGATGCAGTTGACGAGTTGGTGGACGATATGGATCAAGACATCTACGATTGAACAAGAGACAAGGATTGTGAGATATCTTCTTAAACAGTGTTGTGCAGGATTTATGGTTGTTTTCTGAACGAGTTTGATGAGTTCATGACGGAGTTGGGGTAATTATGCTAATGTTTGCGCTCAAAATTCATGTACTTAATTAGGTGTTTATACAATGAGAACAAAAGTTGAATTAATATGTCGTTTCTAATATGTGATATATAACAACCCTTGATTTACCTCTCGGAAACCACCCAATCCGCAGCCATGTCTGATCTCTTCTGGCTGCTGGCTACGTTGGTTTCGGGATATTATTTTATCTATTGTGACACTCAAGGATAAGATTGCGCCTGAGTCTTGAAATGTTTATGCTGGGCCTAGGAAGACAGGGCCCTCTCCGATCCACCCAAAATCGTCAATGATCATGGACCAGTCGACTCCTTGAAGTGGATCAATAGAGTTGTCTATAGTCTGATCCTGACCATTGTTGATGTCTGGATTTGTGACGATACCCTCACCATTACTTTTGTTGGCGTTCGAAAGATTAGCTTCTAGTAACACGTGAGTCAAAATGAACGCACTCAAAGCTGGTCCAACTTACCGTAAACGTCAATGCCTTTCTGCGCACCATCTGTGCTGTTTTTTACTTCTTGTAAGGCCTGTTTGAACTGTGCGAGACACCAGTACGATGTTGCAGCTCCAATGCGATCAGGCCATGCACCAACGGGCACATCCCACCTGGGCAGTATGTGTCTCACCGACCAGAAAGTCTCAAGGACAACAGATCCACGCACTGGAAGATCATTATCGCGCACTGAGCAGGTTCGAAGCACTATCAGGATCTGTGCCACGACTGCATCGGCGTCTGAAGCTGAAATATGCGGGGGGCTAGCTTTGGAGTGTAGTGTGGACATAAGAATGCAGCAGGCATCCATAACAGCGCGGTAGATCCAGTGGGTGTTGTGAGTCAAGAGTCTGGATGTTGACTCAAGAGTGAGGGCTGTGTTTACGAGATTTTGTGAGGTGTTGTAGGCACGGAGAGTATTGATGGTGAAGTTGGGACGTTGGTCGGGAAGTGAGAGGTAGTAGTAGGCCTGCACTTCGAGCTGAGCGATGAGGATTATAAGTCGAGAGCAGTCTAAATCCGAATTGTAAGTCTCTTTCATCTTGTTGCGCATAATTCATTTATTGGTACCTGTATCAACATGGATGACAAGTGGTCTTAGAAGCTCAAACTCATCTTCCCACGTCTTGACGACTGTTTCAGGAACCCCGTCATTTGACAATATCTGCGCTGTCATAGCTGTATGTAGTCGGTTTGAGAACTTCTGGAGCTCGAACAGAGTCATAAGTTCGGGCGCAAGAGTGTCTTTGACGATATTCTTGCATCGAGTGTCGTTGTGCTGTAGGAATGGTGGCGGATGCCCGTTGCCTACTGATGCCCTATCCAGGTTGTTAATAACTTTCGTTGTGCTTCAAGACTTCAACAAACCTCTGCGCCAGGATACAACAGAACATCCAAGTAATTGACGCCTCATAGTCTGTACACGTCATGTGTTGGCGTCCTCCGATTAAGAAGCTAGGATGGGATCCTCGGCCAGTATGTAGTCCTAGGAGCATACACGCGTTGAGAGCGCTGCTAACGAATGTCGGCGATGGATCCGTGACAAACCTAATGGTCGGAAATGGCCAACTGCAAATAATTAATAGGACATGGATCGTTTCAATGTCTAATGCGACAGCTCGAAGTAAGCCCCAGACATCGCGGTTAAGAGTATCGAGTAATGAAGTTACGATTTGTCCACTCTTTGCGTATCTACGGCAGGCAGTGAATATGACTGTCCAAAATAGAGTTGGCGACGCTTCGAAGCATTGGTCCGGGTCTTTCTTTCTCAAGATAGGTAGATATGGATGAAAACATTGTATGTATCTAGAGTTGTCAGAGTTCGGTTGCCAATGTGTGAAACTTGGGTGTGAAACTTGGGTGTGAAACTTGGGGGTCTCACTTCTCGAAATACCAGTCAATATCCTGGCCAGGCACCACCTGCCCATTTATTACACGAGATTTTGTTGGTTCCGTCTTGTGTAGTAACGGTGCCGCTGGTGTAAACAACTCGGACTGTTGAGGGCTTTGTAGATGATTTGACAGCGGATAAATGGTATTGTTGGCCGATGGCGTTGCCGTAGTAAATACGGCAGTGTGGCTTTGAGAAACGGGTACCGGTTCTACGTTGCTCTTGGGATGGACAGCTTCTTTAATGGATTTGAGTTCCTGTTCCAGGAGTTCAAGTTTGCTGTGCAAAGTCAATATTGGCAAACCTTTGAGCTAAGGCTTTTGTAGGACAACGCTAGAAATACTAGTTTGTCTGAAGTGGTTCGGTTACCTTCGTCTCGTAACTCTCTTGTGTGACCTATCGTACACACAGGACATTTGAAGCTTGGCGCATCGTTGACATGGGTGTCCTGCCACAGGGCTTGCCTTACAACGAACCTATTACAGACTCGAGGTTAAACTATACTCGGCCCAACTTAATCGAAATAACTCACTTTTGAATCACGGCAACTTATACAAGCCACGTTTCGTCTAATTTTACTCTGTGGCGAATCTGGCCCTTGTGATGGTCCTGGACCAGACGTTGACGCGGGTGACTCCTCGGAGGATGGTGTTCGAGCCATTGAGTTGAGTTATACCTCTGAACAGGCCATTCATGGACATTCGGAGTGCAGTTACGAATATCAAGTGTGATAATAAAATGGGTTGAATACGAGATATTAATGTGTTATAAACTTGTATTTTATTAGGATATTGATAAGTCAGAAGCTATGGTGGTTGTCCCCGTCAGTTCTCAGACGTCTTAATGTAGTCTGACGTCACGTGCGCCACGGAATATTTAGACGATGCGCCTACCTCATGTCAATAAACTATAAATCAACTGCTTCTGAAGCTCAGAGCAAGAGAGGGAAAAGGCAAGCAGGAAATGATTATGTATCAAAGTTGTTCAGTATTAGTTTTATGACTACTCTGCTATCCTAAATACCTTAATTCCACTGAGCCTCTTGTTACTTTGAGTGAGAATTCTTTTGTGCAGTCTCCTTCGTAACTTTGGTTGGTGCTTTATCAGACTTCAGCATGACGCTGACCAACTTCCACATAACCCAAGCAAAACCAATTGCAACAGCGATAGCCGTGCCTGACCTGATTGAACCTACCCCTTCATCATCAAGCACAGGTACTGTGACTCTGTTCATGAGTCTGCTGCCACCTTCCGGTTGAGGGTTGGCATGCCAAAAGACGGTGTTACGAGGGAACAAATCATCATATCCCACATGCAACCTGTCGAATGGGTTTTCTAAGGTCTCTTCTTCTGAGGAGCATGCCCAGAAGACTGCGGGATAAGGAATCTCAATCTCGACTTGGCCACTCGATGAAGGCTTGAGGTATCGAAGGTGTAGCGGGATTTCAACGCTCCATGGCTGCTCTGTGCTAGGATCGGGTGGCGAGAGACCAAGAAGAATGCTGGAGCCCCAAGTCTCGGTAGTATATGCTGGAGCTTCAAGATCAACAGGAAGAGTTGTGTATCGTAAAGTGGTGAGGTTCTTGGACGCCAGGAACAAGTCATCTCCTAGTTGATACCGGTCCGCAAAAATTGTCTTAGGCAGTGTCAAGAACGCGTATGGTGTACACTCGCCATCGGTGCTCGGAAGCTTGTTAGAGTTGAAGCTAAGTTGTAAAGTTGGGTGAAGTCCTGTAGGTGTGAGAAACTTGGAATTGAAAACCAATCCATCTCGACGATGTCGAGCAGGAAAAGTGAAAATGGTTGGTGAAGGCTTTTTCTGGTCACCAAGCACAGACAACACGCCAGCAACTCCAAGCTCATTCTCCTTCATGTTCGGCTGCGATCGATCATTAACGAAAATGCCAACCTCCACCCTCCTCGCGGTAGATGCAGGAACTGCGACAGTTTGGGGTCGAAGAGGCCATAGTGCCGAGGTGACAAGAGCATTGGTAGTCTTGTCAAAAGACAAGTCCAAGCCAGCAGCCGTCAACAAGCTACGTAGCCGAGCGTTGCAGACCGAATCGAGCTCAGGACAGAATTCTTGGGAGCTAGTGGTTATGAAAGAATGCAAGTCCTCGAGTGCTTGGTAGAATGAGAAACTAGGAGAAGCGGAGGTGCTTTGCTGAAATTCGGTGAAGGCCTGCCGCTAATAAGCAGTTGTCAAGCAAATTGGATGAAAGAGCTTACCTCTGGCTTGGAACAGTCTAGTGGGCCGAATCTCTGAAGCCAACTACAAAGTTTTGTTCTATCACAGCAATCAGTATATAGCTTGGGAGTCTCAGGTAAGGACGACATACGGGTTGCAAGAGTTTGGTGAGACTGGAGTAGCATAAACGTGGAGTCCCGGCGAGATACGAGAGGTGAAAGGTTCCATTGTATCCGACTTGACAGGACTGGCCCATCTGATATGAAGGGCTTCATATTCTTGGAGTATGTCGGTGAGCTCAGCAGGCAGCTCACTGAAAGGAATAGTGAGCTTGTCCTGACGAACTGTCTCGATCTGAGGCCCTAATAATCCAGCATCTTGGTTATCCAAAGCCTCAGGATCAAGAGTATAGTCGTTGTGGATAAAGGTTACGCGCTCACGCATGATGTCGGGATGTGTTGGGATACAGTTCAAGACAGATAGCTAACTAGGTATGATAGAGAGCTATTGGACAAGTTGTCGCGTGTCAACTGGCCTATCAGAGAAAACCTTGACTAGGCTTAGATCTCCCTTTTGATCTGTGACGTACAGTCTAGGTAATTGATGAACAGTTAAATGGTACAAGGCCTTTCTGCCCTAGTATCTGGTTGTTTTTTGGTGTTGAGCTCGGTAGACGTTTTGGGTGACAGACGGTGATGGGAGGTGATGTTGGCTTTGCTGGTTGGTCAGAGCTCCTGGAGTAACCTACACGTGCACTGTAGGGGAGTCAGACACTGGCTGGGGGTTATCCGATGGCCTGATACCCCTGTCGTTGCGCGCTAAACCCATTTGGGGACCGAAGCTTAGTTTGATCCATCTCAACTGCCATTAATGAGATGCCCTATGCCTTGCGCCTGCCCACTCGACACTATCTCGGTCACGAATTGAAGAAAGTCGCTGGCCTATCCCGTCAATTTAGGTTGTTACTTCCCATCTGTTTCATAATCTGTCACCGTCGAGATGACAACGCGACAGAGTCTGGGACTTCTTCCTTCTACATACTTACATATTACTATGCCTTTGTGAGGCAAGACCCACGATCAAGATATTTCCTGCGACACTTCAGTTAATACGACGCGACGACTACGAGAATGCTCATTTATAATTGAACCAATAATTTCTATATCGTGATACGTGATGTCACGGGATTGACGCATTAAATCTGTCATACGCAAGCGAGTCGTACATTCGACACCATGGCCGACCACCAACCATATGTTACCATTCGTTCTCGGAGACCTGTCGAAGGTCCAGGTTCGAGAGGCACTGGTCCTCTTATGGTGTGTTTAAACATTGATTTCAGTCGGAACTTAAGCCTACACGCGACTTACACAAGAACTCTCAGGCTGCATCTGGTGGAGGGGATCACTATGCCAGATCTGCAACACATGACACAAGCCGTACCAGTTTCCATGTGAAACATATTGGTCAATTTGCCCAAAGGCTTGAAGATGTTAGTCTACCTTGTTCGTCATGAAACCAGCATTCAAACTCACTCACTCGTACTTAGTCCGCCGCTCGTGCGTTTCCTAACCGCGGAAAGTCCTCGGCCAGGTACAGCAACGTCCAAGTGTTGCTGCTACACTGGAATTCAGATGATCTCTTCGTGATACCCGAGCTAGAGGATCTCGAAAAGTGTCTGAGCGAGGATTATGGCTTTAATACTGACGTATTTGCCATCCCTTCCGAAAACTCTCATCTCGAGTTGATGATGCGCATTGGTCAACTTATCAAAGATCATGAATCTAAAGACACCTTGTTTGTTGTATACTACGGCGGACACGCCAGGATCGACGAATCTAGACAAAGCACCTGGTGCGCGTAAGTCATTAGCTACTGACACGTACAAAGAAGTTCCTGACAATTCTTAGAACTCGTGAAGCGAACTCTCCGTGGCTTCAGTAAGACATTCCGAGTATACCTACGCAACGTTCATTTCTAACTTTCATGTAGATGGTCTGCGATCCAGACTCTCCTCGAGCGGTCACTTTCTGATGTTCTCATTCTACTAGATTGCTGCGCCGGAGCCGCAAGTGCAACCTTCCCCAGCGGTGCCAGCATTACTGAGACCATCTCAGCCTCGAGTTGGGATGCTATCGCTCCGGACCCCGGACGTTACTCCTTCACTAATGCTCTTATTGAAGTACTTCAGGAGTGGAGGGTTCGTGCCTTCTCTGCTGCCATGCTCCATGCTGAAGTCCTCGCTCGATTGAAACACCCGCGACCCATCACCATCAACGGCAAATATTTTGAGGCTCGCTCCACCCCTGTGCACTTCATGATGACTTCCAATCACAAAGCGCCTAGTATCGAAATGTCCCGCATGTCTCGTGGCGACAATCTACCGTCCCCCGAGTTGACACCAATACCTGAGATGGTCCATGAAACAGGCCGGGCAGCTGATTCTGCACCTGCTTCACGAAATGACTACATGTTCACCGAACCCAATGAAGATACTCCTCACGTCATGATTTCTTTGGCATTAGAAGACGACCAGAGGCTTGACATTAACGCATGGGAACAATGGCTGGGGGCCTTTCCTGCCATGGCCAAATACGTCAAGGTACAGGGCGTTTTCAAGAGTCATTCAACAATGCTTCTTGTTTCCATGCCGGTTTCTATATGGGATCTACTCCCAGAAGATCATGCGACATCTTTCATCGCCTTCATCCGTTCCAACAACCTTATGGCTCAAAAACCCCGAAACCAATCAGTGCCAACCTTGGTTCCTACAAGCCGCTATGCTACCGAAAATGACAGTGCATCTTTCGTGTCCGATGTTTCTGGCACGACGTTTGCGCCTACAGAGATAACGGGACGGATTGGTCAGCTTGGGGCATTTTGGGATCCCACGTATGGCAGGCAAGGCGGTTCCGTAACGAGAACTCATCTTTCACCTAGTCAGCAAGTCTCGCCCCTTCACATGCTGGCACAACCTCTGTCGCCTTCCCAGAGCTTATCACAAAGACCCATGAGGCCCATGCTCTCAGCAACATCACTTGCCACATTACAAAGACAACAATCGTCATCATCTCTAGGGGGCGAAAGAAATCTAGCACGGCAGATGATTATGAACCAACAGCAAGCTCTACGGCGCACAACTTTCGGAGTTGATGTTCCAGAACCCAAGAAGTTTTCTCCTCATGTTGAAAAACGCCTCGAAGAGTATTATCAAACTGAGCCATTACCAAATGATGGTCAGAAGGCATTCTTTGCATCGAATTTGGGAGTAGAGCCTTGGCATGTAGAGGTCTGGTTTCATCATCGAAGAGAGAGGGATGCGTTTGCTCAACGTTTTGCATCTCTCCAAGTCGAAGGTTCCAAAGTTCATGCCCATGAAGGACCACGCATGATCTTACCATCAAACCTTGGTGAACTTTTAGACATATCATTGCCAGGGCAAAGTATCATACTTGATCTTCGATCTTCAACGGAATTCCAAAAATCACACATCAAGGGTGCGATACACTTTCGTGCCCCTCAATCCTTCTTGCGCCCTGCATCTCTAGATATGGTCGAGCGTGTATTTGCCGACGCACAAAGCAGGAGAACGTTTTCGCGATGGCAGCAGGCCATTTGTATTGTCTTCTACTCACGTGGCCTTGACCACCCATGGGAATGCCCCTCTGCGGAGATCTTGCTCGAGAAACTCTCTACTTGTGGCTGGCGCGGACGCTGCTTCGTCCTGAAAGGTCATTACCGAGAATTCAGTGACTCTTTCAGCAAGCACATCCACCGCGCGCAGGACGGAGACTCTGAAAGAGCTCTGCCCAATTTGACGGTTGCTAGCAAGGGCATGTCGGGTAATGAGGGGGAGTTTGCCGAGCTATTCGCTCGACTAGAAAAGGAGGAACATGTGCCATATCTCAGTTCCTCCCCTGGATACGACGAAGAACGAACGACGGCACTGGCAAAAAAAGAGAAGGTACTGGAGACCGAGTTCCAGAACCACTTCCCTGCGCTATTCAAGAAAGTACAGGACGTCCACGGCGTTGAGAAATCCGACAACGAAAGCTTTGTCACTAAAGCTCAAATGGTGGAGTATCTGGATCGTGGTTTAACAAAGATTCGAGATGCTCATATTCCGCAAGCGCCAGCCGCTGTCTATGAACCAGAACATTCCAAGTTAGCGGCTGAGTGTTATCGTGAGCAACCAAACGTTAACAGGGAATCAGACGAGTATGTCGAGGTTAGTCGAGGAGACGAAACAATTCCAGATGGAAGCCCACAAACCACGAATAAGGGCAAAAATATTCGGGCAATGGCCTCTCCCGAGGAGATATCCCGACGGGGCCGCGGAGGAGGTCTTTTGAACAAAGTATTCCGGAGGACATAGTATAAAAGGTGTACAGGATTTATGGCTGATGATACATACTGCATGGAGTGGTCTTGAACCAACAACAGGAGTTCTTTCTTAGAGATGTAACCATTTAAAGATGGGATTGCTATGGGATGGTGGCTATGTATAGCTTTGGATAAATATGCCTTCTCTATCATGCTTGTACTCTCCATATCTGCATGCTTGCGCTCAGTGATCTAGACGGCCAAAATGGGACAGGTAAGGCTTATACAATAGTTTCGATTACAATTCTTGACGGATTTCAACCGTAACTATCATCTTTGGAGCCACGATCAAGAACATGGCCATGACTGGCCACAGTCAGACGAGGAATAGAATCTAGTCATAAAGCACGTTAGCAATGCTGCTTTTTGAGTCGACAGCGTCCAAACAGCACCAATGTAGATAGTTCCTACCAGAAGGAATACATTTCCATGTAGACACGCATATCCAATAGTGATAAACATAATCCATGAGCACACAATTCCCTTGTCGTGGTTATCGTGGTTACCCTACAGTGTTACGCTGGGTTTGTTAACAATGATCGTCGGGAACCTATCGGCAGTATCACAAAAACTAAACACCACAGCATATGTACGTCTCAGGTTTCAAGATATCTATTCAAGCCAAACCGCCTTGGTATTCTACTGCGTTCCACGCTTCGTCGTCAGATTTTGCTTCGGTAGCACAAGCCCAGATACAGCAGCTGGTGCCGTTGTGTAAGGCGGAAGACCTCGTTTTCACGCGGCCTACCGGTGAAGCCAAACCGCCACTGGCAATAGTTGCATCCGTGTGTGGAACTCGACGAGTAAGCGGACTGCCCAATAGAGAGCTTGTCGCGATTTTCCAGAAATTGAGGTTCCCCTGTGTGACGCAGGACCGATAGCGTATAGGAGAGCAAAGTCAGGAAGGTATCTCAAAGAAAGCACAAGAGGACATTTTCGGGCCACGGCAGAGAGTGACACAGATATGACAGTCAGTCTAGTCTAGTTTAGTTTCGGGGAGGGAGACTTTGTCAGGGGGATAAACGTACTAACGTACTAACGTACGTTTAATCAGGAAGATATGTACAGGCAACGAGTAATGAAATTGTGCAAAACGGAAAGATTCGTTTCCGTGAGGAGCAGTATACAAACTAATTAGTCCAACACTTACCGGTCGGCACCTCATGTCGATGCGATGCTGCCCTTGTTCCTTTGCCTGCGGGGCACCTGAACCTACCTATATCTGATCAATCAATAATTATTGCTGCACTGCAGAGTAGCATACCACGGAGAAGTGGTTTGCAAGGTCAGCATGAGAGTCTGACTATTCTAGTTGAGGCGAGCGATCCACATAACCGTCCGATCAAGGCAAACGCAAGCGCCAGTACATAGGTAGGTAGCAGGTTATGAATGAATAAATCTTATGTACATTTTCGACATGCACAACATACCAACAGTTGGCAAGAAAACTCAAGGGCCGCCGCAACAATTAGACTAGATTATTGCAGCGTAGCCTCTTGTGATTGTATAGTACTAACTACCATAGTATGCTGTATAGAGTATGCACATAATAATAATATATAGCATTATTATTCATCAACCACCATGATCCGAGATTGGCGCGCGGAGCACAGAGCCCGGCTCAAGAAGAAAAATGGCCGACCAAGAGACCGAACCGGGGAAAGGGCCCGTGGTCTGTATGTAAGCCACGGCCACGGCGGCTCAAGATGGGTTTGGCGGCCGTCTGACAGGACGCTTGGGCCGACCAATTCAGGGTATTGTATCGTATCAGGGCCCTTGACAGCCATCCTTTGTTTGTTTGTTCGAAGTTGACGTGTGCTAGGTTGACCAAAACGATACTATATATAATCACTCTGTATGCACATCCTGTCATCGAGGTGGATCTCATTGGGTCGCAATTGAAATGACCCTGAATATAGTTGCTTTTTGGTCGCCAATTGTATCTAAGTTGGGCTGCATCGCCTCCAACGTTGAAATAAGGAGCCGACTGGTTGAGATTGAGATGCTCGTATAAGGTCCAATGCCCCAGAGTATACTAGTCTCGAACTTTCTTTGATCATACCCACCAATCTCTAGGTCTAATAAGCGACTGTTAGGTTAACGCATGCCTTCCATCTAGGTCCAAGTCGATATTATTATTCGTCCGCCGGAAATAGTGATCGATACTTATATTAATGAGTTGAACACAGCTGGGCATTCTCAGCAAGACGCATGCGATTACTGAAGGCCTAAGGTAGGCGACATTGCCAATAAGACGCCGTGGTAGGTTGAATAGACCAATGCAATAAAAGAGAAAAAAAAAAGCAAAAAACAAAAGGAAGGAAGGAAGGAAGATGAAACTTGTCATGGCCCCATCGACCGTTATGTGTCGCTTCTGTGCTTTTCTGTACGTCAGTTTACGTGTATGTATCTCAACTATTTCTCAAACGTACATAGTTGACAAGGACTAGGTGTGCTGTTAGTCATATGTCAACAATGATATATAGAGACAACAAGGATAGCTTTTAGGAAGAGAAGATCAGATAACCCCGGCGAGAGTAAACAGAAACGTTCCGGGAGGAAACAAAGTTGATGAGGAATGTGGCCATAACTCAGCAAACGACATAAACAACAATCAGCTGTCGCTTGTGAAATTGTGTACCATTCATGATGCTCCTCCTTCCGTATCATCGACCGTAATTACCTGAGTAGACCAGTCAGGACCAGTAATCCATGATTTGTTGCATAAACAATGGTCTCATGACAAGTGTTGTGCAGTTTATTATGCATGCATGAATGGGAATGAAAGGATTTTAGCCACAGCTTGCGCTGTGCAGCCCGCGATGATGCACTGATGTCCTGATATCCTTGATAACCTAGGTTCAACAAAATCTGAGTGCGACCTCGGGGTAGCCACCATTCGATGTAGGCGGGGTGATCCACTGCCGTACGGAGGGGAACTAAGGTAATTAACTCATGCTGCGATTTTGCCGGTTCCAAAACCACCAGCAATTTTGCTAGATTTGGACCGTTGGACCGACTAACTCGTCTCGGCCCATTTGGAGGAACCTCATTCTTGAGTTCGATATGGATGGAGAAGTCAGACGAGGGGATCCAATGTGGCAGTTGATCCATATGGTCTTACCGATGAGGGTCTTGAGTTGCTAGGGTAGCCCCTGCACACAGAGACATCTTTCACCGTAGCGGATGTTTTAGGACACAGCCAAGCGTTCTCGTGGACCATGTCGTCGTCTTCGTTATGGTGTCAACTGGCTATGATGGGCGAGTCATGCTGGGAACTTTGCTTTGCAATACTACTCCCCCTGGCCTGCACGGAATCTTTGTTAGCCCCCAATTCATGTTTAATTGAGGTCGATGCTAACATGTGAGCGTTATGTCGACTGCCAGATGAGTAGTCATGCACCGAGGTTACTAGATTTATACTGTTATGAGCAACTCGTACTCCTCCGAGGTGTCTTCATGAATCAACACACAATTCGGAGGATTTGAACGGAAAAATCACCGTCACCGCTTTTCCTTGTGTAGCAGTTTGACAAAGTTGCAACAAGTAGTAGCTTGCAGTTTGTGCACAAGGGGCTGTACTGTTCGCCCTGTAGCTTGAAGAAAGGCAATTTGGCCTATGAAACATGTCTGGCCGCATTGGAGGAAAATATTTATTGTCTTTGACAAGTTCAGCCGTCATTGTATTTGTCCAGGTGTCGTTGATGAAAGATTTGCAGCTTCTCGAAGGCTGACATTCGACAAAAACAGTGGATATTGTCTGATTGTAGAAAATACTGGTCGCCATATATTCTTCTTTCTTGAGGGTGTTCAGTATTAGGTGCGAAGCCGTTGTAGTGGCTGGCTGCCAGTACATGCAGGTCATGGTGATGGATGACAACTTGGCAAAAGTGAGATAAGCGATGGCGTTGTTGTGAAGGACACCCAATCGGTTGGGCTTTAGAAGCATTCGATCCTGAGCCGTGGCGGCAAGGGGCGACATTAGTTTGGTAGGATGTTGTGGATTGACATTGCTTTTTGCTGCTAGGAGCACAGTAACCACTACACACAGGACTTGGCATATCCGATGAAGAACGCCGCCACGTTGTTGAAATAATATTTCGAGACTTGTGGAATATGCCGTGCCACCGACTCAGATCTGGTATAACGAAACCGATGAACACATGCAAGGCGGTGAGTTTTGATAAATTCCTCAACCTGAACGGCACTTTACCTTGCGACGTGTGGTTACCGATCGTTGGCAGACGCAGAATGGATGGTGACACAGAGATGAGACTGGGGTGTCCCGCAAAACATGTCAAAAGACAGATCTGCTCAGCGTCAGATTCTCTAACTTTCTTACGATTCGTTGGTTTCGTGGCCCACAGGGACCCAGGAACTGGAAAGCATACCGGGGGGCCCTGAAAGCCCCTCCCGACCAACGGGCTCTGCCGCTGGGATTTATCGTCGGTTGTGACCTCTGACGGGAGAGTGATTGGAGGTTTTTGAGCAAGACAGGCCAGGGTGCCGGGTAAGGTGCGGTTCTTTTCCTAGTGTAGGCCGTCTTGCGAGCGTATCCCTGATGCACCCGTTGCCATCTTGGGTTGACACCGAGAAGGTGAGCAAACGGCGAAATCGATATGTATCGGTCACATACAGGACTTGGAACAAACGATTGAGGTTGTCTCACTCCGGGTGAGATGTCAGGAAGGGAATATGCGGGGTGCGACAGCAGACAGCCACTACGTCTTGTCGAGCGACGAGAAGCAAGGGTTCGCATAAACAAGGTGTGGGCTTGGGTAGGACCTAGGCTAGCATTGTGCGTGTGAATGCGCATTGCCTGCATGGCCTACATAACAGGCACAGCGAGGTGGGCCAGGTCGTTGCTGATGGCACCAAACGAAACAAATAAACAAACCCACCTTCTTTAAAGACCGTGGTTTGCACAGGTACGCAGTGAATAGGACAGGACGTTGAACCAAACTCAACTATAAAAGGTTGGGACTGCAGAGTCTTTGCCAATGTTGTATGGACAGAAATGGAGAATACTGAAGTTGTTGTTCACGTACTGTGGTTAAATTAGCAACAGCCAAATGACCCTGATGGCTGGTACTCTGTAGGTCCTGATGTATTACAGAGTTGTTGTCATAGCGCAATAGTTAATCGGAAGGATTCTGAAGCATCTCCGTTGTGCATTTTTGACATCTGTGACTAGAGGATTGCCGTAGGGATTTGTTCGTAGCCGAACGTCTCGCAAAAATTGATCGGCAACTGGAGGCCCGGCGCAACTCCGACAGGAGAGATGAGTGGTCAGTTTAAGATGCCGGGATGCCTCTGTAGGCAAAATGGACGTGGGACCCCCCTGTCCAAAGGCTTCAGAATGGGGCGAAAACCTCTGCACACACCAGCTCTGACAGATTCAACTTGCTTGGCTGATCCTGGCAGGCATGTTGAGTCGCAGCCCTGGACATGGCGACTATTATAGAGCGAGATGAAATAGTAGCAAGGATGCGGGTCTGTACTATTACCCACAGAGTTTTGGTCGGGCGGCCGATGCCAAGGAAATAACTTGGAGGGTCAGAGTTTCGCTAGTGAATGACCCCTGGTACTGTAACCGATGTAGCCTATAGCCTGCACTGCACACAGCTGGATTAGTGATCGGGATATTATTCAAGACCGTTGGAGAAACAAGATGGGTGTTTGCGATGCACGTACCGCTCAACGGCGTGCTGATCGACGCAGCTCTTGGCGAAAATCCAGTCATGAGTTGAAGTTGGTGCTGAGAGGCAAGATATTTGGTTAACATTCGTTCATCTTGTTAGTATCTTGGTAGTAAACTGGTAAATTGCCTTTTTGATGAAGATTTTTGATGTGATGGACTTTCTACCGAGTCCGCCAAGTTACCTACTAGAGAATGGAAGGAAGGAGAGTCGGTAGCGGGCAATGAGTTGTTCCGTTCCCAGTCCCGAAATCCATAGATGGAAGGCACCATCATCACGAATAGACCCCTAACTTTGGCAGGTAACTATTTATGTATGTCTCTCATGTAGGTCAGGCAGGTATGCAGTTGCAACACATTCCATTCCGGACCCTTGCAAGGTCAGGTAACGTGATGTGGACCTCGCAGTGGAGAAATAGAAACCCTCAGGTTCCATGTTTATCGTGGAATGACAATAACATTGTTGCATTGTCGCATCGCATCACATCGTATCGCATCTCAGTGACTCCGTAACAAACGTCGACCTCAACGGTGACTGTAACTTTGATCAGCTCGCCTGCCAGACCCGGGGCTTTAACTTGGTACCAAACAAAGTTTACAAGCTTCTTTCTCATCTACCGAACTCAGGCACGCCAGGGATCGAGCAAGCCTCAGTGTAACGTCCAACTCCTCTCAGAGGGTCCGATGTTTCTAAATGGACAACTTAAGCTTCATTCAGGTGGTGCCAAGACCAGGTTTACCTTTGCCTGTCGCCGGTGGCAGACCTTTTCGAGCCTAGAAATGCTACGATGCCCGCTGAAGTACCTGCTGTTTCAGTGTACCTTGGCCGAGCACCACATGTACCATGTCGCAATTCCATCCAAAACGTCTTTTTTTGGGACCTGGCAGACTGACTATCCCGGCTCCGGAGGTGGTCCTAATACGTCCCGGCCCCGTGCGATCTTCACGACGATCGTGCAACTTTGACAAGCCAATCGCAACAAAGACTTGCTGCCGGATCCTGGCTGTTAATTCTCTGTTTTATACCTGGATAATAATTACGAGCCATCCCACTATATCAGTGTTTACATCTTTGTTCGACAAGCGCGAGTGAAAAACAGCGACGTTTCCGAGAATTCAGGTTGTGGAGTCACCGTCTGGCGCACGTATGTATATGTCTTTGCGTTCAATGAGGCGTTTGAGCTTGATCCTTAGATCATCTTGCACAGCCCCAAGTCCCAGGAACTTGGGCCTGGACTGACTGCCCATTAACGCCACGGGCCTCCCGTCTCTGTACCCGCTCGAGCCGCGTCACAGTCAGAGATCCTAGCAATATGAGTGGACTTATCGGACACAACCCCTTTCAGGAGGGCTGGGAAGGAGTGCCTTCTGCTGTAGCAAACATAGCACAGCACAATACCACGCAACACCATAGGTACGCACATAACACAGCAGACACAGCACAACAAAGCAAGGCATTCCTTGACATGCTCCTCAACCCCCGGCCCCACACTGGCTGCCGAGACGCACAATATGTAACTGCCGGGAGCCTACAATGCGTAGGAGTACGGACGAGTATGACCATGGGATCTTTCGGTCAAGCTTTAAAGCATGGACAGACAGGCAGGCCATGCCAACTATCACTGCACGACGGTTGCAACCAATCTACTGTACTGTGTCTGTACTCAAATTCTTGTCGAGCTTGTAGCCCAATTACCCCTTTGCTGTTGGAAATAGGATAGTGACGCTTACAGTACAAATTTTAAATCTCCACAGCGTGGTGCTGACGTATAATTACTTGTTCTATGGCGGCGCAATCCTGAATCATGGTCTACCTGCAAGCTGCAGATGCCACTGTCAGTGGCGGGTATCGTAGCCGCCTAGCGCTGCTACTAACCACAGGAACTGCGGACGTGACAGCCCGTCAAATCGAGGCTGGGCTGGTTTCTACCGGCCAGAGGCAAAGTCAAAAAGGAGTTGGATGGCACCTATCAGCCAGTCCAGCGACCCGTCGTACTTGAACTCTAATGGCACCACAAGCCCGAAGCCCATCGGCATGGGTCAGAGCGGCATCCCAATCTCGTGATGCTCTCATCAGCGGTGGTGAATGGCTGTATTAGTGGCCTCAGACTTTTCCAACGTCTGCGACGAAAATCAGGTCGGCAATCTAGCGCCAAGCCTCAGAAGCTTGCCAACGTTGAAGAAAGTGCAGATCGTGTCAACTTGGGGACAAATTTATGCCTCGAGTTCTGATCCAGTCCTGTCTCGTCTCATCAGGTCAGTATAATGACAGCACGCTCATATGCCCATTTCCGTTCCGGTATGCATGTGCAAGTTGAAGTTGCATATGCAATGATACCTCAAATCCGGTCTGGTCTTCGTGTAGGACAGTCCAATTCATCGCACGTTCTCAACCGCTTTGACTATTTAGTCCATATATACACAACATGCATACGTACATAAAAAGGCCATGCAGCCGGGGGTGGAAGCGGCGACAATTTACACTGCACACGCCACATCAAGAAGGCTGCCAGCATGGTTGTGCACACCATGGCGTGTCAGCCATCATTCAACCAAACCTGGTCATCTTTGCCCTCTCTCTGCTTCTCCAACTGGTTTCCCAAATTGAGGACTAACAGCCACGGCCGCCAGGTCTTGGTCGCTTGTTGAGCCCCTGCTCCATGTCGACTGCCACCCCTGATCCAGAAAGCGGGCATATCCTAGCAACCACCACAAGCTTGTCAAAGCTGTTCATGAGCGTTTGGGATTGGTGACGTTCCTCTTGTTCTGGCGATACAACGCTATGTTCTCCGAACCTAAGCCATTTGTTTCTTCAATGTTGCCCCGTCCTCATTCCCCTGGCCTCTGGATCGCCCTGTGTACCGTACCCTGCCAAAACTCGCATGCCTGAACCCTTCAGGTTTAGATTGCTGTTCTCTTCACGCCTCGAGGCGAAGACCTTTCTGTCCGCATAGCAATGTGTGCTATGGATACTATACGCTGGCTTTATTAAAGAACTGTACATCCCAGTTCACAACGCTTTGTTCCTACGACGTCGTGTGTGGCTTGGATAAGTTGGTTTCACTAACACCACGACATCTCCAGTTGAGCCCCGGCCACTTTGAAATTCTCCGCTCAGATGTTCATGACCCTGTCTGTGTCTTCTAGCATTTCCTATCCTGGTTACTTCGTCTGCGTTGCCCTACGATTAAGTGCACCCCACTCCATGAGATTTGGGAACCGTCAAGGCCATCAAGCCGCTTTTGCACTCTGATATACAAAAGGCTCAGGCTTCCCACCTACGGTAGATGACCCTGGATCCTCCACCTTCTATCCTCCGTCGCTATAATACGACAAGTGTTGGCCCTACATCGGATCAGTTTACAGATTCCACTCTTTACACAACATTGTTCTCTTTTGCAACCGTTGTTCGCCAACTGTTCTTCGCCTTAACACTTACTCTGGTTGCGCTCTGGTATAGCACCAGAGGCATAATTTGTCACCTTGTAATCAGGAAACGGGTCGTTCAGCAACACTAGACGGCAGGCCAGGTCAACCGCGCTGCGGTTCCTTCTTTTGTCTTGCCACCGTCCTGTTATGGAATATAGTCGTTCACTGTTAAAACAGTCTGATACGAAACTACAACAGCCAGCTTCCCAGCTTCCCAAGATGTCTATGATCGCTACTGCTTCTCCTTCTCCTCATCCCTCGTCCTTCGGTATGCCGCGCCCCTGGGAGACCAACCGATGTCCTGACTATTCGCTCCGACCGAGGACCGAGAACGACAAAGTTGCTCTTCCTTCGATTCGACAGGTAGGACTCGCTAATTTCATGAGCGATCCTTGCAATGTTCCCAAGCTGACATGTTCCAGGCTTTCCCTGAACTACAACTCCAAACTCAAGCACCACATGACCTTAATACAAAGCCGTTGGCAACAGGACCCCCATTGGGTACTACGCCATTGACTGCGGCATCACCTCAATATGTACACTCACCCAATTCTAGCAAGAGGAGAAGGTTGTCAATGGAGCGCGAGGTGGAGAGCGAGAGAGTTCGTCAAGTACCACGTCTATGCTACAGCCCCGACCGAGAGTCACCAAGACAGATTTCACCAAACCTACCAATTCAAGCCGGAACACGGGAGAATTGGACAGCACCCACAAGAACAAGCCCATATCTGACAAACGGTACACCTCACCACTCAGTCCCAATGGAAGTAGGCGAGCGAGTAGAGACTCGACCGACATTGCCTAGTCTTCCTCCACCACGTTCTCTGGAACGAGAAGCGGTACTCGTGAGTCGGGGATCAGCACCAGCGCCAGCACCAGCGCCTGCACCAGCACCAGTTTCAGCATCCGCACCAGCACCAGCGCCCGCACCGACAGAGGGGTATAGAACCTCGCACCAGCCGATACCACATTCACGGACTCCCATCTCTGAGTCTGGAGTCTCGCCTTACCGAGAGTCAAGCTATGGATATCCTTACCACCACCCGACACGATATCAATCACTATCAGCGGGATCTGCCCACTCATTCGACCGTACGCCATTCACGCCAGGTGCATATAACGCACCTTACCAAGATTTTGTTCGTTTTGGAGAGATGGGATCTGCCAGCTTGAGCGGTGACAACAAACAACGAAAGCGAAGGGGCAACTTGCCCAAGGAGACCACGGATAAACTCAGAGCATGGTTTGTGGCACACCTTCAGCACCCTTATCCGACCGAGGACGAGAAGCAGGATCTCATGCGGCAGACAGGACTGCAAATGAGTAAGTCATGCCAAGCCAAGACTTTGATCCCAGAATTGTTCCAGGTTAGAAACTAACATATGTAGACCAAATCTCCAATTGGTTCATCAATGCACGAAGACGCCAATTGCCAACCATGATCAACAATGCCCGCGCCGAAACTGACGCCATGTCGAGCGCTCGAGGCGGTGACATGAAGGTGCTCGCCACAACAGAGCGAGGCGACTTTGATCACGGCAAGCGAGAGCCCGTTGGACCCCTTAGTGATGGAGAGGGCGCCACTTACGATGAAGAGCTTGAGGCGCTGAGCCAACGAAGACCTGGCACCATGGGCAGGGGCAGCGTCTGAGATGGAGAATGGGACTAAGACTAGGAATAGGTCTATGTCTCTAGGGATCCCTTCCTCCTCCCTCCACCCACCAAATGCTTGAACAACTATTTACAGCGACATCCAAAACATGGTCATAGTCATGGCCAAGGACACTTCACTTCGATGGTCATTTTTCTCTCTGTTTTTCTCCTTGGTGTTTGAGGTTTTAGCCTCTAAACGCATTTAGCGGCGGGTTATATCCCATAGAGTGGAGATGGTGTTTGTTTTAGGGGGGCCCAGTCACTAGGGCACGGATCGTTCAGGGAACGAAGCACATGGCATGGACAGCATTCATGAACGTCACAACCTTGCAAGGAAATAGGACGGAAAACGCGATATATACGGCAGCGTTTTGATCAGACAGGACAAGGACAGAGGTTTCAAGTCAATGTGGTTAAATATGAATCTCTGAGATGAGCATTGAGACACACAGCACAAAATATTAGACAACCTGCGAATAACTATGAATCATATTCGCACCAAGACCACTTTTTCGGATACAGGCGAACCAGACGCCTATTTTTTAGTACTCAAGTATCTTGAAGTTTGGTCGGGCCACTGAATCAAATGAAATCAATCAAAAACAACAGTACCTTTAATGACAGTGACTGACTGAAAATGAGTAAAGGTCTGTGCGTTAGCTTGAGCTTTGAGTAAAGGGAAGCCTCATCTCATCATTAGGTACAGCTGACTCAACGTAGACTCCTCCATGACAGCGCTGTAATAGTTAGTATTCCCACTAATATCAGTTTTAGTATGTAGCTCGGATGGAGCCTCTTCTCCAGTCCAGGGCTTCGGGATGGATATTAGCTTGTCTTGGCTGGGCTCAGGCTGATGGGAATGAATATCTTCACGTTAACGACCGTCAATTTCCTCATCGTCTGATCCACACATCTTGCTGCAGCGGCGGTCTTAGCGATACGCTATAACCAACGTCTGCCCCATGCCACAATATCCATTGTACGTGCTCACTGTCCTTGAGCCGGGCTGTCAATCAGTGCAATGGATACTTTGCCTTTGCTTGGTCTAGGCACAGTGGAGCTTCTCCCACGAGATGATAGACGGTTTGCAGAGGCTATAGAGAAAGAATGCACCAGCCATTCGTAGCGGCTGCTGCTAGCCCGTGCTTGGAGCCACTGTTTTTGACCAAAACTAACATGGACTCGACTATTACAGTGCAGTCAATAGTACTCAAAAGCCAATGCCGGTGACAAATATCGGTTAGAAAAGGAGAATCAAGTTCAGATTAGGTGATCATATCGTTAATGATCATCTCGAGGCCCGTGTCAGATGGGTTTTGCACGGGAAGCCATCCGGCCAGTCACACCCATCACCGACCTTTGGGATGATATGCCACTGGAAATTTGTTGTCAACAGCTTACTGTGATTTGCTGTATGTATGATACTGCCGGTAGCTTTTTAATGCCAGATACAATAGAGTTCTGGTACAGAGACTCTTCGGGGTGTGAGGACAGGAACGAGAACCAAAGCGTTGTGGAATGTCATCGTGCAAGCATGGCCTTTCTAAAAGGGCAGACATCTGCATAAAGATACGGCAACCATGACTTTGTAGCGTAGTCAGGAATAAGCCCAAAGAGTACCTATGCATGGTGCCGAGAAAGGTATAGAAACGAGAGATTTTTCCCCAAGTATGTTGTGATATGGACCCTCCCCTTCTACCGGGTATATTCTGCAAGTCAATGCGTAGTCGAGTCGACAGTTTACAGTCTACAATCGATAGCTCGCAGTTGAAGATGTAGATGTGTAGAAACTAGTGCGCCTCTGCCGCTGTATGCACAACAGTTGCGTGACGTGTTTGCATTCCCAGAAGATGGAATTTCTATGTATTGTAGAGGCTAGAAAAAACACTGCAATGCTGTCACTATTGGGTCATGGCTATTTGGGGCACGGCACTTGCGACAGCTGGTCCAGACCTTCAAAAAGAGTCTTGACGAGCCATCATTGCCCAATACCGCGGGGGCATCCCTCTTCTCACAAACCAGTAGTTAAACCCCGTCTACTGATCTGCACATTGTACATGCACAGCGCCTGGGATCAGGGATGCACGCAGGGAATGAAACATTTCAAAATTGACCGGTGAGGAGCTTAATTCCCTGGCAGGCATGTTTTTTTTTGTGACTGGCTGTGTCAATGAATACATATATTTATATATGTGTACAGAAAGGCTGAGATCACTGCGTTCAAGGTCAGTGAACACGAATAGTTAAAACATAGCTGTCAAGTGTCCACGTTTTGCCCAGTTTTCTATGGCACCACATAGTGCAGCGTTGTGTAAGGACAATTGACTCCATCTACTGTTGGGACCATAACCAAGCCTTCGCTAGATGGATGCCATCTTGATGTCGAGTTGTGGATATCATTATATGCAATGCATGCTCTGCCCCCTGGCTCATAGATAACTTGGACGCGTGTTGGTTTGCATCAACCAGCACATTTGCTCGCTTCGACAGAACTCACATGACAGCGGCCTAGCACACTGCCGTATTGATATTAGGTCGAATCTTTAATGACCATCATCGACCAAGTCGTTCCAACAGAAGTTCCCTCGAAATTATAGAGTTTATGACACAAAACGGGCTCTCGCCGCGGCAAGGCGTGGTCTAGGAGGGGTGCCTATCATAGCCTGTGGCGAGCTTAGTCGACGACTAGGCTGGAAGGCGTGCCCTTTTTCGTACACGGTCGTCGCCAGGTACCCCGAGAGGGTTAGAGTTATGAACAGTGCAGAAAGGCAGTTCATCTGAATGTGCTAGGAAATTACGTTGATTCACTCTGAAACTTGGCAAGCTCCTCGGCCTTTCAGATACCTACTTTATTGGCACTTCCTAAAAGATCTCCTGTGTCTAAAAAGACATCTCACAAGTGTGGGCCAATGGGCGATAACTGGTCTTCTTGGTCTGATGTCCTAAACAAATAGTTATTGTTTTGTTCATCACTCTGACTCGATAGTGGACAAGCTAATAGAGTATCAAACTTGGTGAGCAGGTGAGACACTCAAAGGCGGGGAATATTAACGAACGATCGTTCTCGGGCCCACTGGACTGGGGCCAGACTCGGCAATATGAGGATGATCGTCGCCGTAATGAGGCTGAAGGAAGGGTTGAGGCATCCTGGAGTCCTGACTCTGTTTTATCGCAGGAACAGGCCGTTCAAAAATGGGTTAATGGCTCGAAACCCTCGCGAATAAAGTATGAACCGAGATCCTGGTAGCTGCAACTCTACTGTGTTTTGTAATGCGCCTCACTATTCTCAAGTTCGCTGATGTTGTGGCGCAGGGATGTCCGTGGCTGCGAGGACCCTATAGAGAGTATTGCCGATCTCTGGATGTCAAAATGAACGTTACTGCTTGGTTCTAAGTTTAGCAGTCCCCAACTTGATATGGGCTCGTGCGTGGTTATTCGCTCCGAAGGCAAATAGGCCGGCGGTTTATCATAAGTCTGCTAGGTCAACTCGACCTTGTTATGCCTTGATGCTGTAATTTGAAGGCTGACATGGTATAGTGGCTGTTGTTTCAGGCTACACCAGCAGGGCTGATAAGGAAGAAAGCATACGGCGGCTACCTGTATTTCAGTGTTGTCCCCTGTTGAATTTCCAAGGCCGAGGGCTATTGTGCACTGATCGACAGAACTATTTTGATTTTCAATGCGCCGGGTGAAAGGAGAAAAAAGCTGAACATGCTTCTTGTCATAGCGACCAGGACCGGGCACGGAGGCGGATAGACGCGAGAGCCCGAAATCAAAGCTCAACCACATGACAATTCCACTAAACCCAGCGTTTCAGGGCTGTGACATACTCCCGCCTGGCTTGGCTGTCAGTCCCCTATTACCGGTACCGGAATTGCCAAACCCAATCTTCAGGGTTACCCTTGCTGGTAAAAACGCCACCACTTCATTTGATGTCATGGTAGTCGACAAGTCTGAGAGCTAGGCTAGACTAGTTCAGGATTGCCGCTAGGCCAGACGATCCCAGATCGACCGGCCGCCGCCAGCGCGCCAACGATAGCGCGATAGCCTAGCTGTCAATCATCAGCGCTTGTCGAGCCGGCAGCAGGCCGCCAGGCCACAATACCAATTGTGGACCTGGCGGCCCTCGAGAAGCTTGAGAAGCCTTAGCAGAGTTCTAGCTTGGGATGATGGAATGACCAGGTCACTAGGAACCAGCAGCAAGTATGAACCTGCTCATGTTTGTGTAGCACACGACTGGGGCGTGCAAGCCCGAGTTCTTGGTTTTGGTTAAGCCGCCTAGCCGCCATGGCGACAGACAGCCACTATTTCCACTGCTTGCCTCGTTCTGCCTCTGGGTGGCGTGGCGAAAATTAACAGATGCCAGCGTCATAACGGCTCAACAACACAACCAAAGCCCAGCCGTAGCGCGGCAGCACAGAAGAGGCAAGGAGCAGGTTGTGGGTGGGAAAACACCGCGACTAGAAGTGAATGATGCTGTCTTGACACCTCAATACGAAGTCAATCGGGGCCGAGGAAATGAAACAAGCTTGTTTTGCACCTGAAATGCAAGCCAGGACCTTTGGGACGATGGTGAGAAGATTAGTTGACACGACAAGAAGTCGGAACCTGATGACACAAAAGTTTGACTTTTAGCCCCTGGGACTCCGCCCTGGGAAAAGAGCACTGGGTAAGAGGTTGTCGATGAGGAGCGGACGGGTAACAGCGGCAGTGGTGGTGGTGTAGGTGTACCTAGACTAACGATGGTCAATAACAGGTTAATTGGGGGTTTGGAGATCTGATTGCCGAAGACTCTATCCCATCTTGGCATCATGTGAGGCACATACCGCCTGCAGACAGAGACAGTGGCTGTATTGGACACTAGGTCGACATGCTACATCATCTGCCGGGGGTTCCGGATCCAACGCAGGGCATTACTAGGAGATGGAGGTGAAAACATTTGGTCGAGTATTGCACTAGACATTGATCGTGGATGTTGAGTTTGTTTTAGTTTGATGAGGGCAACAGCTGTATCTGCCGGCCGGTACAGTGAGGTGTGGCTGATTGACGCAAAACAGAAACCAAGCCCTGCGCCACGTCTTGACAGGCAGGGTCTTTCAGTCAAGCTTAAAGTATGAGGCTAAATAAAGAGCCGAAACTGGGTGCATCTGACTCTTGTCAGATCTGCCTTACAATACAATACATACACCCTTATTCTACCTACCTCCTTGGATAGGCATGGATTTAATCCCAACTTTAGGAATCAATTCATCTCTATGAATACTTTACCTGGTTACTATGTATGTTTTGCTAGCGTCTTCGCTTTTTAACGAAAAATGATTCCATAACCACTAGTTCTTCCGCCTGACTCATCCAATCAATTGGTATTGTAAGCCTTCGGCCTTCGGACAGTTCAGATCTCCGATAACAGTCAAGTCAAATTCGAATCAAAGTTAAATCCGACGATGACATGTGTAAACTACCTGCCTACCTGCCCATGCTTATGATATGTTTTTATTGTAAATTCCTTTGTAGATGGGTTTCTGCTTCTCATCTGTAAATCGCATTAATCGCTGCCCCTTCCTCTTCTGTCCTGTCTCATTTGACGAAATTGGAGAGTGCGACCCATTCATCTCACCCCAGCAATTGGAAGCAATCGGCTATCATCACAACTATCGAATGAGTACCGATATTACTCACCACCCACCAAGGTATAAAAAGACATGCCTCTGGACATGAATGAGTCCGATCCCTCTGGTCCTCCGGAAACTTCAAAGACCGAGCCTCTAGCATGCGTTTCCTGCAGGGCCCGCAAGTTAAAGTGTGACCGTACAAAGCCAGCCTGTACTCGCTGTGTCAAGGTCTCGAATGATTGTGTATACCCTGAATCAAGGAGGAAGCCAAATTTCAAGAGGAGAAACGTCAAAGAGCTCGAGGCTCGCTTAGGTATACTGCCGACGTTCAGGCTATCCTGATATAACCAGGTTGCTAACAACGTGTTTACAGCTCAAGTTGAGGACTATCTCAAAGAAGTTAACAAGAATTCTTCGGAAGAGAAAACCGATGATGGCAGTCCCGTCTATCCAAATCAGCATCATGCCAACTTTGGCGATGTTGGCGTCTCCCCTGTAATACCGGGAATGGTGAACGATTATTCGGATCCCGGTTTTTCGTCCTTTCAGCCACCAGCTTTTGATCAACAGTCAAATGATGAAAATACTCCTTTCAATGCACAGTTGATGAGCCTAGGCATGTCTGAGCCTTTACCCCCGGACGATGTTATGGAAGAACTGTAAGAACATCCCTTAACGTACAAATTATGAACGATGGTTAATCTCTGTAGCAACAACATCTTTTTCCAGAATCAGTATCGACTGATACCCATCATCCACCCAGGAAGGTATCTCCAGTCCTTCTATGGCCCTTTACCTAGGAAACCCCCAATGTGTTTGAGATATATCATTTGGGCTTTGGCAGCTGCCGGTAATAACAAGTATGACGAATACCACGACATCTTTTACCGTCGGTCACGACAATATATGGAAGCAGATACAATGAAGGGACACGGCGAGGTCTTCGTTTCCATTCAGCACGCACAGACCTGGGCACTTGTGGCTTTCTACGAAGCAAAAATGTTATTGTTCACAAGATCGACTGTAAGCGTGGCAAACTGCGTTCGCTTGTGCCACATGATGGGACTTAACCGTCTGGATGGTGATAACGTCGGTATGCCACCGTCTTTAGCACCTCCTCTTACGTGGGCCGAGCTGGAAGAAAGAAGGCGAATCTTCTGGGGCGTGTTCGCTGCAGATTCTCATTGTTGTATTTCCACAGGATGGCCCACTCTGATCGATACGGACGATGTATGCCTATTTGACTTCCCAATTAAGACCATGCTGACGAGGTTTCAGATTGCAACAAGGCTTCCTGCTTCCGAAGAAGCATTCGTTCAAGATCGTAAAGAAGAAGCGCCTTTCTTAGACGATGCGATACAAGGTGCTCATTACACAGGCTTTGCTGGGACCATCGTCACATGTCAGGTCAATAAGCTCGTCCTCCGCCATATTCACCGCTCCAAGCCAGACACTCGATGTGAAGATCTGATGAATGGGCCATTCTGGACTCGACACAGAGATCTGGATAACACATTGTCCAGCCTCTTTATGTTTCTTCCTGAGAACTTTCGTCTTCCCGAGAATATACGAGACGTATCAGCACTCCATCTGAATATGAATCTGCACGCTGCTATTATTTGTGTTCACCATGCGGCTGTCGAAAAGGCCGAAAGGTACAAACTACCAGAGCATGTCAAGCAAAGCAGTGTTGCTCGACTTCGAGCAGCTGCTGAGGAGATTGTCAACATTATGAGACTCACCTCGAACGTGACCCTTTTCTTTGTACGTATTTTCCACTATTAGTGAATTTCCTGTACGCATTGAACTAACAAAAGTATAGAAGAGCCCATTGTCTGCCCTATCTTTGTACTGCGCAGCTACGGTTTATATTTATCTTGCAAAAGAGAATCCAACAACGAGCCTTAACGCAATGGACTTGTCAAATTTCCAACTCGTTATCCAAAGTATGGAGGCCATCGCGCGTGTACATACAATCACTCGAACCTTTTTACAACAGACCTGTATCGATGTGGAGAAGAGTGGATTGGATTCTGTTATCCAGATGCCTTCACTGAGAAGGTATCGTGATGCCTTTGGACCGAGCAAGTCCCAAATACCGATCTTGGCTCGTACATCAGTTTCGAATCATTCCGGACCATCACCCATAGTATCTGGAAGCGAGAAAAGACTTGAAGTTGAGCAGACCAGACTGAACAGTGTTGCCCAAATTATGGGCGTGACTCTTGGGAAGACATGCTACCAAGCTTTACTCGGATCCGCCTACCGCAACATTCGGCCAGACCCAACGAACAACAAACGGAAGAGGAGCGAGGAAAGTTTTATGCCTAATATACGAGACAGTAATTCTCTTGACTTGAATCTGAATCACAACTCCAAGGGAACAGGGACGTGGTCTGGATCTTTTTCGCCTTATATGACTGCTTTGGGTGGCATTTCCCTGCCTGACCGGACAAATTCATCAACTGCGTCCTCTCCAATCAATCAGGTCTCGAACTCTGGTTCATACACTAAAACAGCTTCGGGGAGTAGTCACACCTCACCCGACATTGGTCTTGGAAACAGTGCGGAAGAAAACCGAATCGACCTCAGAGCTTTCCAAGACCGAATTTCTACACCAATTTGGCAATCGACTGAAGAAACACTATTTGCACAGATGGCGACGAACACGCTGGGTACCGATGGAACTGACGCTTGGGGAATACTTACTGCTGTCGACTTGAACTGGGATGCGGAAGGGCTGTCAGCAGGGAATTGATTAATGTGACGCGGCGGATCACCATGTATTTCTAGGATAAGTTTGGAGTTTTGGGACGGTGTTTTTTTCTTCATGGCTTTTCATATCTCTGTAAAATATGAAACGAGGAGGGAGGATATGTCAATATATACCCTAGATAGGTCGGTCGGTTGAGAGACCATACCAGGCATGAATTTTGTACCACTAGGAGCTGGTTAGACAAGATGGATGCAAAAGAACCCATCTCTCGGAACAAGAATGAATAGAAATTCTATATGCGCTTACAATGTTATCTTATTTGGTTGAGTTATTGTTGGACGTATATTCTAATCAGCCAGCTATTGAGGAGAAACTCCGTCATAGCCGAAACACGAGGTCCACCTTCTCCCTCATCATGGCATGTTCCTCACACTCTCATCACCATCTGAGTGTCTTGATCTTGCAGCGCTCATGCATCATTTGCGATCATGTTTCAGTACATAATAGGCTTCGTGGCATTTCTCGTCGTCTTTTCGAATCCCATCGGCGACTTCTTTTATCCAGACCGCGCCACTCAAGTCAAAGAAGCCTCACCGCGTCCAAAATTCAATGAGTCGCTGCTAGCTATTGATGCGCCGAATGCGACAGCGGCCGAGTGTGCGCCTGACGGCTATTTGGCTAGGATAGTTAGCAGAGAGCCTCTGATTGTATATTTGGAAGGGTTTTTGAGCCGGGAAGAAAGGGAGCATCTGCTGGAGATAAGGTATGCCGCGAAGCCATCCATCGTCTAGGCTGATACTCACACTTGTAGTGAACCAATCTTTGTACCATCAACCATCACCAACAATGGCGATGCAACTCATCGCGACGCCTCAGTACGCGACTCTGACGTTGCTGTCATCCCAAGAACTGACCCCGTCCGGTGCATCGAGTCTCGTACCCGTGCCCTTCAAGGCTGGCGCCCGGAGCTTTGGATTGAGCGTCTGAGGACTCAACGCTATGGGCCAGGCGGCCACTACAACCACCACTTTGACTGGAGTCACAACTCGCGTGGATGGGGCCGCGTGAGTAGTCTCATGGCATGGGCTGGGGGCTCTGAACACCTCAAAGGTGGTGGTACCGAGTTTCCCCTGGTGAAAAGGCCTGTTGGAAAAGAGTGGTGTCGCTTCATAGAGTGTGCAGATGGGGAAGAAGATAAGAGTGAGCTAGGTGTTGTGTTCAAGGTTGTTCCGGGGAATGCAGTGTACTGGGAGAATTTTGCATCGGATGGAAGGGGCTATGAGGAGACTTGGCATGCTGGGCTCTCTGTTGATGAAGGAACCAAAGTCGGGCTGAATATCTGGGGGTTTGGGCGAATTTGAAACGGCTGTATGCGTATGAGGAAATAGGTGGTATACATGAACATTAGACCAGGTATATAGACACAGCTGCCATGATATAGAGAATTCATCCATTTCTTATTTTCATCCTTCAATCATTCCAATAATATCTAGAATCACTCCCATTTCCTCTCGCATTGGCCCATCCATCTTCCCCAAATAACGACTTTGCCCTGGATAGCTTCTGCAACTTGATCTCTAGTCGGCTTTGAGGTGATCAATTTCTCACCCAATGGTTCGCTCAAGCCAATGACTTCAAACCAATCTTGATCGACAGTCAGTCTTGTGCTGAATTGCACCTCCAAGGATCTCTACTTACATCGATGAATTCCATGATTGATGAGTGGTCGTGGCGGGATATAAACCATCCCATTGCGACTTGCTCCATAGTAGAACCCCCCCTCGATCTTGGTAGAGGTTTTGCTCGTGGACTGAAAGTCGTCATTGACAACATTCGTCTTTTGAACGGGGATACCCAGATATATACTACCAAAATCATGAGTTTCATCGTTCGAAAGGAGATAAAATATTTAACTTACCCGTGACAAACCGGCGTTGGCAACGGCGCATCAGGATCTTCTGCCACGAGTAGCCATTCTTTTACACCTTGGTGAGAGTTCCACTGTAACTGGGGAAACCTTCCTTGACCTCCATGCATGTACTCTTTTCCCAGCGTTGCACCATCTGGACCACAATCCGGAGATGTAACCGACAATGTTGGCTCTAGTTGTTGAGCAAAGGCAGGAGTTGTGAAGAAGGCTTTGGAATCTCGACCTTTGTAGTTTTTAAAAAGCCAGCTAGCTGCGACTTCTACGTAAGCCGCCATTTTTTGGGTAGTATAGATGTCTTTGAAATGGGCGTTGAGATATGTGTGAGGAGTAGGATGTATGTGCCACCAATGCTTTGAGTCTACTGCTACTGCTGCAGCATAGTACAGAAATAAGTATAAATATATAAGTCAATCAGACTGACAGTATAATAGACCCTACCTGACAGTGTCACAAACTCCTGATATTATGTCGGGTCTACCGGCGATAATCATAGACACCGGAGCCGAATCGGCAAATAAATATCAGACCATTTCTACTATATCACCGTCTTTGCCACAATCTTTTACTTTTCAGTAATAAACTTCAAAGAATCGATTTTTATTTACTGATTTGGCCGAATTTAAAATAGCTTAAAATGTTCGTGATATCGTTGATCTACTTGTAGCCCAATGCAACCGTCGTAAATGCTTAACACAAAACTCTATATGCAGTACCAGCAAAAACGCCGAGCAAAATCCCAATAATATATGCAAGCCCAAATCTCAAACTCCTTGAATCATACAAGACCGCCATGTCTTTATGTCAAAGGGAGGGGTCAAACTCTCTAAATGAGGAACCAAGTAAACGTGAGTGCCATTGCCCCGGCAAGAACAGACACAGCCCCGTCGCTTCCCAGCGGCGAAAGTGACCCAGCAGCATTCTCGTTACCCGAAGACTGTGGTCCTCCTGCACCAGTCGCAGACGGTACAGCATTCTTTCCTGTGCCAATCTCGAGAATGTGAGAGCCTGTGGCGTCAAAGTTGCTCTGTGCCAGCGAGATCTCGTTATTTTCCAGGTCAAACACAACGTAAGCACTCCTTAAGAATGTGTCACCCAGAATGGAAACCTGTGGGGTCGAGGGTGCGATTCCAAAAGAGCATGCTGCTTGACCGTTGGTAAATGACATCTGGCGACCTGTGATGTCGGTGAAGTCGAGGATTAGCTCGCTAAGGGGCACTGTAATCTCAGCGGGTTCGGTGAACTTGAAGGTCAAATTTCCTCCCTGGTTTGCTAGATCGCAAGGGACGTATGCCGTAGTTTGTCCCTCTTCGTAGTCAGCGCCCACGAGTTCGTATATAGTCTCTGTGAGGCTGGTAGGGAGGTACGTGAGTGTTGAGCCCGAGTCGAGAACGACTCCGAGATCAAGGTTTTCTCCGATTGTTTCTGAACCTGAGCTGATGCTGTTGAGTTTGACGTAGAACTCGGAGTATTCGTCGTTGATCTTCATGATGGGTACGGTAACTAGCTCGCCAATGTAGTGCTCCGAGTCGACTCCTCCGAACAGGATTTTTCCAGTCGCAGATTCCAGATCGTCGAGATATAAGCTGTAGGCATTAGAAGCGATAACTCCGTCAGAAGACAACCTGGCCGGCATGTTCTTGTAAAACTCTGCGTCGGGTTGAGCAACAACAGCTTCGTTGGTGGTGTATCCAATACCAATGACTCCCTCGTTGTCTGAAGTTACATATCCGATTCCAAACTGCAGATCTTTGATCGAAACTTGTCCCATTTTAAAGGTGTCGGTAACATAATCGCCAGATGCGCCAGAGCCATCGGCGTATGAGATGTTGAAATCACTATTTACATACTCGTACGTTGATGACTTGTTGGGATTGTATAGACCAGACTCTGCGCAGATGTTGGCGTGAGTGTCGCAAAGTTCTGAGCCTACTGCATTCACCCAAAGATCACTACTTCCAGTATCGAGATGAAGGCGGAAGTTTTGTGGTGGAGTTCCTATGCTTGCGTTGAGGAAGTATAGGGATTGCTAGACAGGGCCAGCGTTTAATAAGATGCTGTCTTGCGGGTGCTTTATCATGATGACTTACCTCATTGTCGATTCCAACATTGACCGTGCCATCTCTTTTGCTTAGACGTTGTCGGTCATGGGCAAAGGGATCATCTACATGGCGACGCTGAATAGAAGCACTTATAACTCTTGGTTCAAGGTCATGTTCCCGTTTATGCAGAGATATAGCGTCTGTGAATGAAAGTAAGGAGACGAAAAGGGTAGAATATGTTGGCTTCATTGTTGAATATTTGTAGTTTGTATACTGAGATACTCAGACATGGCTCTTTTGGCGACATGGAAACCTCACTGGTGTTTATATCTAGTTTCATAAGGTTGGCTCGTTGGTTCCACAATGGACTTCGCCTCGATGACTTTACTCTGTCATAGATGAATAGATGACTCGAGATAGGTACTTTTAGGCTACTGCCGCTCATCCGTACGTTGGAATAAACAGACTCTCGGGATGCGTCAACGACACAACGTCACCCTCAAACGTCAGGGCACCACCTTTTCGGCACGGTGAGGCCGAGGCAGAGAACGAGAGCGAAGGCGATGAAAGAAGACTAAGGAATAATCCGATGAGAGTAGGATATCATAGATTCAAACATGACATTTACTTGGTTATTATACATTTATCTACTTTGTACTGGGAAATCAGTCGATCACAGATCATCCCGTAGACGCTGCACGAACCCCTCTCACGGTTTGCATAATCGAAACATATTGGAAACATCCAAACTCGCTGGATATTTAAACTCTCCACTCAAATTGTAGACCCAGGAACAAACCTCCACCACGGATACTGTACTGTAGACTGCGTAATCTGTCAGTGCCAACACAGCCTACGGGAGAGAGTGTAGAGGTCACATTCGGGGAGACGCGCGGCCGGCGTGAACCTTCTTTTCCCTCTGTCGGGGACGAACCGCAGGATTAACTACAAGCATTAAAGGAACAATACTACGGAATATCCGGGGTAGTCTATGGTCTGGTGCAGAATTATTAATAGATAACCTAGGTACCCTAGTCTCTCCTCTGTATGAAACGTTTACTTACGGCGTCAAGTTAGCTAAATGACATGACGTGGGAGGCTCCTTCAATGCAATGATTAATTAGAACACCAAAAATACAATTGCCCAGAGAAAGAAACTGACGATGGTCAGAACATCAACCGCTGCGTATATATTCAAACAAAGACCAACTTCTTAAATCGTTGAATCATGTTAAAACAGGGATTGAACCACGCGCCAATTTTGCTGACGACAACCTCCCATGGCTGGCGATGCCGAACTTCCGATTATCAACGGAGGCAAACATTCATAGTAGATAACCCATCGATTCCAAATCATGCTTGACACAATATACAACGCATCGTCTTTTAAATGGACCATCATCCACTTTATGTTGGCTTGTTCTTTATCTTGATACCAACTTTAGGGTAGTCGAATATGTCTCTATCATGATCAATCTGTTTATCCATCGTGGGCATAAATCGTCAATACCTTCCGATACACGTATATCGAACACTGTTGTTACTTGAATTACCCAAAAAATAACTCATTTACTATTACCATATGTCTAAAAGCACCACATCGTGACAACGTTGGTTTCACAAAGCGTTGCCAAGACTCAACGTCCGCATCCCGACGGACATTACCTTCATCAAGACCATGAGATACTCTCCTGAACAGGTCAACATTGACCATCATCAAGTACTCACTCATCTGAGGCCTCTTAATCTTGGCATACAGTCTACTTCATTGAAATCATCCTACTACTCACAACGCTCACCACTAACCACTCACAATCAATCTTATTTAGCTGCCTATCCAAGCTACGTCAACAAACGAAAGCCACGATGCATCACTAACCAAGAAATCTGTAGTTGCCTAGTGACTTGTATCTAGATAGATCAAGGTTGCTGCCTTATTCTGCGGCTGAAATCCTTTGAGGCATGGAATGGATGACATGGCATTGAATTGGGTTATGTACATACACCTTTTACATAAGCTTACTTTTGTAATCGTCTGTATATGAGTATAAATCTAGATTTGCAATCATACTTCCGCTCGCATGGTTAACAATTCATCATCTATCAACTGTAATATCTTTAACTATAACCTTCAACGGCCAAGATGGATGCTGAGCTTATCGCAAATATGGACCGTTGGTATGGCATATGCCCTGACTTATAGACGCCCCCAACTGACATCAACACCACTTGTTTAGTCCAATGTATGCTGTAAGTTATACTTTATTTTACTGAACCGATCTTTTAATGACATGATACTCGCAGTCTTTCTTTGGCGCCATAGGCTGCGCATGTTCCATCGTCTTCACCACCTTCGGGGCATCCTACGGTACCGCAAAGTCCGCAGGCGCCATCTTTCAATCCGGCATTCTTCGCCCGGACATGCTGATGCAGAACACGTACGAGTAACTGGCATAGATATGTCCTAATGCAACCAGCTGACAAAAGATAGACTATGTGCCATCATGGCCCAGATCCTGTCCATATACGGACTTGTCGCAAGCGTCATCATGTCCAACAACATTAAAGAGAGGATGCCTATCCACACAGCTTTCCTGCAGCTTGGAGCTGGTATCTCTGTCGGACTGTGTGGTATGGCCGCTGGTTTTGCTATTGGCATCGTGGGTGATGCTGGAGGTACGTTCACTCTCTGAACCTAGATAAGCACCATTGACAACTTACACTTTCTCAGTCCGTGCCAGTTCGCAACAACCACGTCTCTATATCGGCATGGTTCTCATCCTCATTTTTGCAGAAGTTCTCGGTCTATATGGTGTCATTGTCTCTATCCTCATGCTCACCCGTTCCACAGAGGCTGCAGAGTGCCGATACTGAGATGTCAGAGCGAGGGTTATTCAGGCATGCGGCTGTCGCCAGCATACCCATTAAGAAGCGTAGTGGATATGTTTGGAGGGGTTACTGTACAGCCTGTCACACTGTACACTGAATTCGTGAGAATTAGTCCCGGCACTATGTCATAAATCAAGTCTGCTTTCCATTGTACTGAACCAACGTTGCGGGGTATCTGCAGATCTAAGACCATGACAAGACATTCATAAACTACATGCTTTCTTCTTTCATGACCTAATCTCCTCCTCTTATAACACCCATTCGTTGACGTTATCATTATGTGTGATAAAAGGCTCATCGATTCTCTTGATGGCCAGATCACTGCAAAGAATACTGCACAAAGTTAGCTATGAAGTTATACAAGTGAACAGTAACTTACCAAGCAGACGCAACGAGAGCGTCCAGTTCTGCAACAACCGTCTCCCTCTGCGCACCGCTGACCAAACCCTTTTGTATCTGTGTCTGGAGTTCCCTAATGCGCGATGACTTTCCGACACCTGCCTGCTCAAGTACCTTTCGTCCTAAGCAGTCAGAGTGGAATGCGTGTTGACAAGGAAAGACGAAGAACTGTCGGCTCAATAGGGGTAATCCGCAAGTATAACACTTCTCCCCAGGCTCCACGATTGCGTAACGATGGTCGAGCGCGGCAATATCAACCTTGATATTGGTAGCGGTTTGCGACGATTCATCCATTTCCTTCTTCAGGTTATCAATGTTGCGGCTGTAATCTTCAAGCGCGGCACAGATCTCCTCCTTGAAATCGTCAATGACAACAAAATCAGGGAAGAAAGGTATCAAGTCCTCAATTTTGAGCAAGTCGCATCGCTTGAGAAACTCAATCGCTGTCTTGATCCCATTTGATTGAGAAATGACCTTTCGAGCGACCGCAAGCCATAATCGTTTACGCAGCTGTGGGTTCGACATTGGCCGATCCGCAATGACAGCTGCCAGCTCAACCTCGCCGTGAGACAAAGCCAAGTCAACTGCTTGAAGGTATTGTCCCATGCTTGTATATATATGTACGCATGATAGTGTTCGGTGATGCTGGATGCATAGTCGAAGGGCAAAGTCAGGATCATAGCGAGGCTCGTCTCCTTGGGCCTGCAAGTATGACAAAAGTCCAGACTCATCCTTTGAAGGGTGAGAAGCGTAGATCGAGACCAAAGTGTTGTGTACAGCCGCGTCCTTTGAGTTGAGTTGATAAACCGCATAGTTGAGATATCTTATCGCTTGGTTCTGGGCATTCGGACCACCGGTGAACGTCCGGTTGTACTCGAGGAAAGCAGGGATTAGATTCCTGGGTTTCAGATCAGAGTGTCTCATCAGGATCTCAACCAGCTCTGGCGCAACATATGTCATCAGCACGCTGCTATACCGGTAAAAGACATCGGGATCCGTCTGCTTCTTGAGAACGTTCAGAACCTCGCTCCACCTCTCCCGTTGAACCCAATAGGATAGAACATAATTATAGTCGTTGACAGCATTCGCAAAGTAAAGGAGCTCTCCTTCGCGACCATGGCTGCTAACGACATCGTACACCATCCTCCGGTCGAGATCGCCTTTGTACTTGTCAACGAAATCCCTAAACTCTTTCCTTACGGACTCGAGCAGCTTCTGTGATTCGGTCGAGTTCACATTCTCCGATGGCTCAGCCTGTGTATTTATAGTATCATCAAGCGAGTTGAGCTTGGACATAAACACCTCTATCAACCAGCCCGCGATCATCATCCTCTGCATCATAGCCGGCTTTTTGAGCGAACCCAACTTTGTTAGTAAGAACTTCCTCAAGGCATCTGGCTGGTTGTTGTCAATAATGCTCAGAGCAATATCTTCGAATGGCTTATTACTGCGTCCGTACACTGTAGCAGCCTCAATCCAGTGGCCTTTGCTGGCCAGATGATCACCATACGCAGCCGCAACTATTTCTTTTTGCAGGGGTGTTCGGGCATGTTGCAGGGCCGGCTCGAACTGATGCAATTTGGTCATGATTTCCCAAATATTGCGCTCCTCGTCTCGAACCACAATCTCAAAGATCTCCTCTGAAGTAAACAGCCAAAATGTGTTCTTCTGCATATCCACGGAGAAGCCTATGGCTTTCTGTCCCTGGCCAATAACGTTATGTTCAGAGACCATCTTCCCTGTGAGTCGATTTGTCGTGATTACACGCCCTCCAACCAGGTGCACAATATGCCACTGCGTGAGTGCGATGGCATCGATGGCTTCTGTAGTTGTAATTCGCCTCTCGCTTTCATCGGGGGAAAGAATCTGTGCCTTGGACAGCATTTTCGATTCTGAAAAGACCTTGCTGCCGAGGTTGCTGTCTGCAGGTGTATTTGAGAGCTTTCCATGAAACACACCCT